CGCTGAATTTAAACTTTCACATTACAAACGATCTAAAACGTTTAAAACTGCTTCTTTTTGATTACACAGGTACGACTTTCGAAACTATACAACTTCAGCTACAAATATCACTGAATACCATCTTCGTGGAAGCTTTTCTTGTTACGCGAGATCCTTTGTACTGTAAAAGTTTAAATTAAGCGTTTTTAGGCATATTTTAAATGTCTCATATTTGTTGCCGAAACTCAATATTGAAATTTCATGTTATAGAGTTTGAAGATTAGGCTTTAAAAATGGAAATTTCACGGCGGTAAATGGAACTGATAAATTTTATTGATCTCATCATAAACCGTAAAAAATTTAAGACATTTATTTATTTAATAACTTTATGGAGACTTCATTTGCAAAAAATACAAAAATTGCATACGAAAGTTGTATTCTTTAACTATAAAACGCATTTTGATTTTTGTCTGCGTTTTAGTTGTTGAATTAAAAATATTTATTTTGGTAACAGCTCGAGCAAAAAACCGATAAGTCAAATTTGCGCCAAAGTAAGATCAAACCCCAATCAAACAGTTTCAGAACAATAATAATTTTTTATGGTCATACCATGAATCAAGCCACATTATATTTGAAGGTTACTGTAAACAATTAACTTCCAAGAACGTAAAAACCAGACTACATTAGAATTAAATTCTTGCTTCCAAACCAAAACATACCGTGAATACAAATATTTTATAATTCAATTGAATACCAAGAAATCGGATAAATCATGTAATTATGGTTGCAGGAAAGTGTGTTATTTTCGTAGAAACCAATTTCATAATAATAATATCATATTATATTATATTTAAAGTTATTCATACAACACTGTTGGCAGTATTTAAAAAAGTAAATAAAGAAAATGCTTCTTATTAAGTGTTTACTTTAAGCCTTTAAAAATTCATTGTATTTAATTGATTCATATTAATCCAATTTCACTTTAGTAACACTGTAAAAGTATGTATACATATTATGGCTGTAATTAATCATGATTTTAATGTGTTAAACAAATTTATTATACAGGATGTTTCAAAAAAAGGTAAAACCGTCTTTAGGGTGGGTTAAAAACCGAAAAATAATTGGGGTTTATTTAGTAAAAAATGTGTGTAATGCCATCCGTTTTCAAGATAAAGGGCGTTGAAAGAAAAAATGTTACATATTTTTTACGATTTTGCCGAAACTACTGGCAACATTGTAATGAAAATTTATACGAATATTTTTTTGAAACCTGATACATTGCATGAATTTGTTTTTATATCTTACTCTCGTAGAGGGCGCATTCTCACAAGGTTAGTGTAAGTGCGCCCTTCAAGTGTTATTCAACATCATTTTTTTAATAGTAGAATTATTAATCAAAAATATAAAACATCATACAATTTTACGCCAAAAAGGTACTCTTGGTAAAACTCGAAACGTTTAGTAGAAGTCTTTATGGTTTATAGTAACCGAGATTTATATGTCAGGCCATGGAGTTGGGATGTCTACATTGTAAAATGGCGTGCACCCTATCCTCCATGCTATAGCATGCTTTACGAGCCATACACTCTGCAGTCAACACCTCGAGGTATCCGCGGGAATACAAAGAGAAGCAATACTCATACGCATATGAAACGCACCTGGCACATCATAAGGACCTTCACAATTGAGTATTTTTCAACTAGTTTGAGTGAAATGTCTTTAATCTCTTCTATCAGCCTCTCTTAGCTAACTCTTGTTTCTTCCGACCCCGAATGGCTATTAGGTTTCCAAGGACAGACAAATTATGTGGCGAGAATTATAGCCACAGAAACAGTAAAATATTGATTCAATACCAGGTGAAATACTACAGTTAATAAGTAACAAAGATTACATAGCATTCATTCTATCTGTGTCGCTATTGAGAATTCAGGAAAATGGCCAACTGTAAATGGAACTACTACCAGATGTGAAAACTATTGCACACTGTCACTAATAACACATGCTAGTAACATCTATTTGCATATCATCAAAAACAGATTAAAAACCTATGTACATTACCAAATATCTCAGGAACAAGCAGGATTTGTAAAGGGTAGAAGTACATGGGAACAAATACTGAACCTGAGACAACTCATTGAAAAGTCTAGAGAATTCCAAGTCGCTATGATTATATGCTACATTTACTACCAAAAGGCTTTTGATTGTGTAAGCTGGATAAATTTGTGGTCCATTTTAATAGAAATGGGCACACCAATGCACCTGGTGACAGTTATTAAAAATATGTACCAGTCCAATATAGCAACAATACAACTAGATCATAAGTAATCAAACCATTTTAAGACTGAAAGAGGTGTTAGACAAGAATGTGGGTTGTCACACTTATTCAACATTTATGGTGAACACGTCATGAGGATGGCTTTATTTGAATGGACCGGTGGAGTAACAGTGGCTGGTAGGAATATCTCCAATTTAAGATTTGTTGATAACTACACTAAGAAATGTTTAATCTCTTGTGAAGAGTTGAGTATGAAAGCAATAAGGTTGGTCTGAAAATTAATAAAGCTAAGGCAAAAAGAGAGAGGAGAGAGAGAGAGAAAGAGAGAGAAAACCAAAATACACTTAAAATTTGTTATCATCATTGTATTTATGAGGGTTATTCCTCTGTAGTTTTGTGGGCAAGTTTTTTGTCCTTTTTTAAATAAATATGGGGATTGTGATGTTCTTATACCATTCCTCTGGTGTTTATGTGTCATTCCATATTTTAAGAGTTCATTGGGTATACCATCTGTTCCAGGTGATTTTCACCATTTTTGGGCCATTTTCCCTATTTTTTTTTTTTTCTAGTAGTTCCCTAGTAGAACACTGTTCTACTACTTTCTTCTATACTTTCTCTATACACTTTTAGGTAGATACAATGACACATTTAATAGAAAGAAAAATCAACTACCTTCAAAATGGTCTATTGTACTAATAAAGGATCTAGGACTAATTTTAAGCAAGATATGGTTTTTCAAAGTTTTCTACTTTTAATGATTTTTTAATAAGACATAATAAATGGCTTGATTGTGTTGAAGATTGTGTCAGAAAACTAGGAGTTTACAACTTGATGAGAAAATAACAACAAATATGGATCAATGGAAGGAAGACTACAAGCAACCTAAATGGAAAACATGCCCTGTCTAGCAATAAAAATAAAATATGTAATACAAATTGATGAAGCTGCACCTACTCTTATGAGGCATGTTTAATTTAATGCTTTCTTAATCTACATATATGAGTTTAGCTAGAAAAATATGCCAGAGATTTTGAAAATAATAATTTATATATTTTTGGCAAGCATTTGCTAAAAGAAATTTTAGAAGCCTCTTAGTGTTATTAACACAAGATGCGGAGAAGATCGGAGTCGGCAACTGGAAAATTCAAGCAAGGGACAGAACAGAATGGCGTAGAGAGCTTGAGAAGGTCGAGGCCCTCTAAGGGCTGTAGCACCAAGATGATGATGATGATTAGTGTTATGCTTATGGGAAGCCACAACAAAAAGACTTCAAGAAACTCAACTTCAAGAAAAAACTCAAGAAACTTCAGAGAAAAAATTGAAGCAAATGCGACGACGGGGATAAAATGACATGACAAAAACAGAGGCCAGTTGGAAAAATTTTAAAACAACATAAAAGAAGCTGCTTGCTCTTGGTAGAAGAACTATCTATCAACAAAATCAGCAAATATACATATAAAACTCAATTGTACTGTCCCAAATTTAAACAACAATGCAAATAGAAAAAATCAACATACCTTAGATGTCAGCAAAGGAATCCAAAATTGTGTGATGAGGATGGTATTGGGTAATCTTATGAAGAATGAAAAATAACTTGTATGGTCTTATACATTTGTATACCATGCTGACAACCTGATCTAATAAAAAGAACTACTTATTGCCAAAATAACCAATAGACAGTCCAGGACCAGGACTGAAAAATTAATACAAACAATGCAAGGAAACAGATAATGAATGTAGAGAAAAATGCTATAAAGTTTCAAACGACATAGTATTGAAACAAATGAGAAAACTACAAAAATCCTTAACACAATCAAAATTAGAAAGTTGCAATATATGGGCGATGTTATGAGAGGTGAGCATTGCAAACTGTTGCAGGTGATCATGCAGGGAACATATAAGAGTGGAGAAGCCGAGGTTAAAGACATGTACCCAGCTGAACAATCTAGGAACATAGTACATATAGAACATATAAACTGTGGTTCTACGGAAATGTTCAAATTGGCCTCATAGAAGACTTGAGTCACTGTGATAGTTGCCAAGCTTCAGAAAGAATACAAAACAGAGAAAAAATTAATATCGCCTTGGCCACTTTCTCAGCATCTTCTCCTTTCTCCATTTTTTCACTATAATATATAAGGCTTCCTCAAGTTTTCAACCTCCTTTTACGAGTTATTGATATATCCCTTTATACATGGGAAAGTTAAGAAGGGACATACGGAAAGGATTCAATAAGATCTGCAATACAAAAGCACTACCTAGGCCTCTGAGATGCAGAAATGATGTATGAGTACATTTGAAATCTACTTAGTGAATTTAAAGCTAATTATTAAATTGAGCTGAAGATTAAAACATTAAACACAGAATGAAAGACCATTACAATGCAAATATTAAGAAGGTCCTTAAGATTTTCTGTTTGCGAAGATAGAGTAGACAAATTATATAAATAATCTTGATGCTTGTTTGCAAATTTAACTGAACATTGTAGGTCAAAATGACATATGATAAATACAGCTAACAATGCAACTATGTATGATTGATTTGTTTCTAACACAGTGGCAACATCAATTAAATATTCCTGACCTAGTACCATATATACTTGCAAATCTTTTTTATATAAAAATTAAATCACAAGTTATAGATAACTATTGTTCACATGTAAAGAGATTTTCATCTTCCATGTCACTAGTACAAATCAAAAACAATGGAGTTACTTATTTTGAGTCATAATACAAAAATCACTTACCGGTCTAGCCAATATGCTAAAGGTTTTATAGTAGTGATGATATTATGGACATCTGACATAACTTGAGTATGCAGTTCAGTACAATTGTCATCTATAAGCAAAAGCTCCTTGTATAAGGAATTTGCTGCACAAGACAGCCTAAGAGCTAGTGTTTGTAAATTTTCTTTGTCTAATTCAAAGTGCTGAAACAATAAATAAATATCAATGGCGAAAAATATTTGTTCAGTATAATAAAAATTTGTTTTAAATTCCAGACCAATCTCTACTGTACTGGCACACATTTTTAATGATTCAAGGTTTAAATAAATATGTTATCTATATGACAAAATGTAATGAAACTTTTATTCAATATTTCATTGAATAATTTAAAAAATTAGGGACCATATACATAAAAATTATTGATATTACATGTAAAATTCCTACAATTAATTTACATTTAGTATAAGTTGTATAGGATTTAAAATTGTTATGCTAAACAATATCAGAGTTTACCTTGATTTAGATTACCTGTTACAGTAGACGTTTTTTGTTTTAACTTAGAAAGTAGAAATTATAAAAATACAGGCCCATAATTTTTAAAAAAGGTATTTTTAGCTAAATGCAATAAGTCAATAAACAATTTTTACTTACAAAATTCCTTAAATGTTCTACAGCCTCCAAGATAATTTCTTGGTGTCCTAGCATCTTAACACCTAAATGTTCCAAATCATCAGCTCTCAAGTTCAGTAACTGATGACCAGTTACACCATTGTTCAAGAACGATGAATTGTATTGTAAAATTACGCTATCTAAACCTAAAAATAGAGTAATTGTATTGTGGAAAACAATTAATTAGGCGGATAATTTACTAATTATAACAAATTTGAACAAAAGCCAGAATGATCTTAAAGAATATTTACCTTTCAGCCAATCTGTGACTTGGTCCACAGACCAGTCTTTAACGTTAACATAAGCCATTTTAAAAAATAAAAACTTAAACACTACACTTGTATTTATTTAAAATTTCACATTTTGCTCTTGATAAATAATTGTTATTACTACTGGTACTGAGGAATTGACATTAATGACATTGACAAGACCCGACAAGTTTTTGAATCAAATTCTATGACTCAGACTCTAGATACCAATGGTCATAAATGTTTGTTGTTCTGAAAACTGGCGTAGTTGCTGAAAAAAAAGTTTGACATGAACTTATGCAGTCAAAAGCTTTGCTGATAGCGTATACCACATAGTATATTGTTTTTAAAATGTTACAATGAATAATAAAATGTTTAAAACAGTCAAAAGATTTCATCTATCATAACTCATAACAATTATATTTTCATTTATAAAATATATTAATGGAGGGTTTATACAAACGTTTATGTATCTTCCACAGCGAAATACTTCCACTAATAGTAGACAAAAGAGTTTGTTGAACTGTCCTTAGTTCCCATTCGAGCACATAATAAATCATAACGTGACCACGATCGAGCTTTCATAAAATTTAGATTTCGTCATTTTCGAGAACAAACATTTATCATTTTAATACTTATTTCATAAATAAGGAATGGTTACAGCTATGGACAAGAATAGCTGGCTGATTAAGTTTATGGAATACTGAACATTATTTCATAAAATATTAATCTTAAAAATAGTTTTCTTTATTTTTCAAAACTATATTGTACAAAATTAGATTATAAATGCAATAAAAATTGTTTTTGATTTATTACATTTCTAGAAAAAAAAAACAGAATATAACAAATGTGGCAACGCGGATAGAGATATCACAGAATGTGATATTGTGACAATGTATAGTTAGAACGGCCATGTCTACTTGACTGTGTATAGTGTATAATTAGTTGCCTAAGTAGGAGTAGGAAGAGTATTGAAAATAAATATCCAGATTACTTAGATAAAATATATTCAGGATGTACATTTAAAAAGTATAGGATTTATTAGTTTATTCTATTACATATCGTTGTTGTATTAAAAGTACCTAGGTACTGTTTTATAAAAATAATCTAAAACATTTTTCTTTTCCGACTTTCAGTTTAACAGTCGTTAAAATTTGAAGTACGATCTCTCAAGAAGTTCTAAATTAGAAGTAAAAATTTTAACGTTCAATTTTACTCCGTGTGTTAAATTTACTCCTTTTATAGGGGAGAGTGTTGTACCTTGGACACTTTTTTTTTAATGACCTGTAACTATTTTACTATTTAACGTATTGAGTTGGGATTTGACATAGCAAATGCAGGGTTTTTATGGCCCAAAGTCAGTCCTATCGAGCGGCTGAAGCTTGTGGCTTGTGTGAGGATGGAAAGTAACCAATGTTATGCCATTTTTTTGACAAGACTGAATCACTGGTATATTAACGTGACTATCATGGTAGCCAAGAAGTAAAATAACTTAGTCTTCAATATATGGTTGTACATGAGATTTAAAATGCTCCAGGAACTGCAAAAAAAGTGACTCCTTAGACCAGCCATATGAATTGGCACCTCCAACTGTGCCTACAGGAGCTCTTTTCAACATATGGGATTTGAAATGTACTATAGGAAACACCATCATAGGTGGTATATGCATCAATACGAGTACCAGAGGCATTTAGTAAGGAGCTCTTTAACCCTTGCTTTTTAAGAACCGCCAAATCAGAATCGTTGTTTCTGTAAAATTTCTTGGTATTTTTATAGACGGCAACCTTAAATGGTCCCTTCATATCGATTTGTTAAGTAAGAAACTAGCCTCAGCGTATAATGCAATAGGATCTGTTTGGAAGAAAATCAACTTAGCATCCTCCAAAATAACATATTTTTCTTTGTTCGAGTCTCATCTTTGATATGGCTTTTCTTTTTGGGGTTCTAGTACAGCTGCCCAATCTGCTGTTATTTTTAAATTACAAAAAAGAGCAGTACGGTAACTTCTTGGCCTCAGTATAATAACACATTGCAGAAGCTACTTCAAAAATCACGGGATTTTAACTCTTCAGAAATGCAAGCTTTGATGTGTATTTGCCGATTCTGTCAACTGAGTTAGTAAATAAATCTATATTATATTCGGCAAAAAAATTATAGGATCTCCTTTTATAATGGAGTGTTTCAAGTTCGAATCGAAATTGTCTATCTACTCACTATCATTTCACTCACATCTGAAGCCGGCCGTACCGCGCCAAGGCCTACGATGGTCTAGCATCAGCGCATCGTTTCTTCTTCCCTTCTTCCATTTGATTTACACTATCCGTAAGAGCCAACGAAATCTTCTCGTGAATCCGGCTATAGTTCTCATATCTCCTTTGTTCTCTATTCTCGATAAGTTCTTGTTCCAAATTTTTTGTTGATTACGATATTTTAAGATTTATCTCTTAATTTTCGAGACGTCCTCTTAACATCAACAAAGTCATTAGAAATTGGTATAAAGGAAAGAAAACAAAAACAGGCGCAAAAATTTCACTGCATAATAATTTAATAAAATATTGGTACATTATAAGAATTATATTAGAGAAACTTAACCAAAACCAATTTTTGTGTTTATTTGAGTCCTATAAATTTAAAACGTGGCAAATACTTAGGAACGCTATTGGTATTTATTGTATAATTTCCTCTTTCATATTCATTGACTTTTTGACCAAATACCACTTGTCTTCCAAACGGAACTTTGGTCACTACAGATTGTCCATTTTCAAATGTTACCGTACATTCATAGGAAGGTGCCTGGTAATTGATTGATTCAACATATAAGTCGTTGACGCGTAAGTGACTGCACACATCTGTAAATGGAAATGATAATCTTTCAATAATTGCACATTATATTAGGCAACCAAACGTTAAAGCATTCAAGAATATTACCTATTTACCTTCTCTGATAACAGATATGGCATTCCAGATCGTACTTCGATCTGGAAAAAGAACACAACAAGGAACAAGAGCAAAAAACAATAGAAACCAAATATAGCTTGGATAGCCTCAACCATGAAATCACAAAGGCACTGTACAAAAGGCTACTCCATGAAAAGCTATTACAAAAAAACTTTGATAGTGTTGAGCACCATTACATTTACATAAAACAATGTCTCAAAAGTGCAGCAGAAGAAGCCCTGGGTAAATATAAAAAAAACCGAACGAAGGAAGTCATGTTGGTAGGATGAAGAAATCGAGGAAACATTTAAATATAAATATTAATTAAAGTAAAAATGAATATCGAGCAGCTCAAAGAAACGTACGAGGTGCGATAACTAAGAAGAAAAACGGAAGCTGGGAAAAAAACTGCTCCAGAATAAACACTTACTTGGGGGGTAGCAGAAGCACCGAAAGCTGGGAAATACTTCGATCTCTTTGACAAGATAAGAAAATGGGAAGAATACTTCGCAAATCTACTGGCGGAAGAAAGGGCAGAATATTTGCAAACACCTCAAATACAATCAGAGGTGCAAGTACATACAATAGCTTCCACAATTAAGATTGACGACAAAGAAGGGGCAGGAGTATGAAAATCACCAAACCTGGGTAATATTCCACCTGAGCTCCTCAAGTACGGTTCAAGCAAATTATTTAAGCAGCTAGCCAGCCTTTACCAAAAATGTATTACCGGATAGATTATACCGGAGGAGTGGAGGACATCGATTATCACGACAATACATAAGAAGGAAAGTAAAGATGTATGTGACAATTATCGAGGAATCGCAGTCCTTAGCACCATCTCGAGAGTTTACGGAAAACGTATCAAAAAGAGAATTGAAGATGAATTCTGACATATGGAGGCCGAAGAACAGACTGGCTTTAGAGCAGGTATGTCAACTATTGACCATCTGTTTACTGTTAATCAACTAATCGAAAAAAAGTAGCGTGAAATCAACCAATCTCTCCTCTATGTGAACCTTAAAAAAGCTTATGATACTGTGTAACCTTAATCAAGGTTGTTCAAGACCTCTACAATAACAACACAAGTAAAATAAAGAAAGGTCAGGAGGTATCCAAGGGTTTCACTATAACGTGGAAAAGAAAATGCAGAAACATGGGAATTCCTCTAAACGACGCAATATTGTACACATTGAGTTTTGCAGACGACCAGATAGTGATGGCCTAAGACTACAAAGACCTCGAATATATGACCAGTAAACTTACCGAAGAATACAAAATATGTGGGCTAGAAGTAAATATCAAGAAAACTAAATACATGTGTGTTGGGGGAGTTCAACAAAACCTAATCTGGAAAGAAATACAGTGAGAAATAAATCACTGTCAAAAATATAAATATTAAGGCATACAAATATCCAACGATGGCAAATTAGATGAAGAGATTAAACATAGAAATGACCAGGGAAGACAAGTCATTAGGCAATTAAATAGTGTACTATGACAAAACAATCTCCAAAGAAAACAAACACAAAATCTTTAACAACATTATAAAAAGCATTGTTACATATGGAAGTGAGGTATGGCCACTGACATAAAAAAACTTAAAACCATTAGAAGCACCAGAAATGGACTTCTGGAGAATAGCGGCTTGAAAATCAAGATTAAACCGAGTTAGAAACGAGAAAAGAATACGAGAAATTATGGGTGTTAAGCACAATATAACAAAGGACATCAGAATAAATCAACTAAGATAGTACAGACACGTCCAAAGAATGGATGAACACAGAATACCAAAGAAAGTATTGAACTGGACACCGCATGGAAGAAGAAAGCAAGGTAGGCCGGGATTAAGTTGGAGAGAAGCAATCGATAAGGAAACATAAAGAAAGCAAGCATAGATATAATAACTATAAAATTTACTGTTCTATTTTAATTGATAATATAATGAAAACTTTCTTTATGAAAGAAAATCCTAGAAGAGCAGGCCGGATTTGCCAAAGGTAGAGGTAGTTGGTAAAGAGAGAGAGAGAGAGAGAGAGAGAGAGAGAGAGAGACAGAGAGATCTATGTGAAGGGATCATACATGATACTTAGACGATCACGACCATCCTTTTGGTAAGTCAAAATTGAAGTGACGATATGATAATTTCCATGTGTAGTTAATAGTTAAGTCGAGATGATTTCTTTTATTTTTATCAACTATAACGATACAGCGACTGAGATTAAAGGAATAAGGAGGGACAAGACAAGACGGTCAAGAAAGTGGCTTCTGAAAAGAAGCCAGTATTTCCACGTTTCATTACTTAAAAAATGTGAGGCTAATCTGATGTCTGGTGCAATTATTCTGCTCCTGTATGGAGTAGAAGTGCGGACCATAAAAGTATCAAACATGAACCGAATTGAAGCATTAGAAATGTAGATTCATAGACGAATATTAAAGAAAAACTATATTTGATGACAGGAAAACTAACGAGGGTCAATATAGAGAATTACTAAATTATCTGGGACATATAGTAAGGAGCAATCAATATAGAATACTACAACTAATTATTTTAAAGGCGAAATATATTTGATTTGATTTATTTTTTGTTATAACAAAAATGGATCTTTTCTTACCCGTATCCGGAACATCTAAGGTTGGACATCCTGGTTGAACATCTCCACCGTTTACGTACCAATCTACGTGCCCAATCGGAACCTTATATCCCCACTTTTGTACGTTTGTGTGAATAGCATCTACGAAAATAGCATCAGTTTTTTGAAATTTGCTTTCTGGTGGTACAGAATCCAATTCAAATTTAGGACTAGCTACATCAAGACCAGTTACTCTACCTACATACTGACCAGTAACGTTAGCAACATATTTTCCTGCCTGTCCAGCTGCATGGGCGCCTACACCAAATCCTGAAAAAGAAGTTAAAATAGATGATAGAGTTTTAAATATCACTTTTTGTGTATCCTGGATTTTCTGAAATTAAATTCATTTTGTATATGTTGTAGCAACTAATTTTTTTCTTTAATTCGTCTTTCGAAAGTTACTGAAAAACTTCTTAAAGTGTTATATTCCAGAAAATTATTGCAGGAGCAGTTATTGTTACGAAAGTTCCGTAATATTCATCCCACGTAGAAAAAGTCCCGTGACGAAAAAAAAAGAAGTATTAAAATTCTATGCATGGATATTTCAACATTGATTTCAAAAAAGCTTCTAATGACCTAAGTTTCGGTGATCTAATTTCTACTTTTGGCTTAACCATAAATATTAAGGAATTTATAAAATCATAACTAGATCAGCAACATCTCAACAAACATAAGCAGTGAGATAATTGGTTGTGGAATTGTGGACCCATGTATTTCTAATCATCTTGCTCAATTTCTCTACAATTAAATCTGAAAAAAGTCATAGTACTATTACATACAGAAGACATATAACAAGTAATGGCGTTGTTAAATAACGTTGTTTCTCTCAGAAACAGCAACATAAATAGCTCAATGTATTACCGAAATGTATGTAAAGTTAAGTAAAATTCGTAAAATAGTTTCGAAACACAATTAAGATTTCTGCTTATAATTTGAGCCTTCTAAAAATTGCAAGGCAAACAGACGTTGATAAAAGATGTTAAAAGGGACATAGGGAATCTAAAATTTGCATTCCACGACGTCTTTACAACTAAGCAGAAATCCTTAGCGAATTGTGTTTCTCGTACTCACACAGAGTATATCCGAATAAAATGAAAAAAACAGCAAATATTTGATTTCACGCAAAAAGCGCCTATGTATCTATGTATGTATATATATATATATCTATCTAAAAATAGAGCTTTAGCAAAGCTCTATTTTTTATTGACTACCACACCCAAAAAGAAAAAAGTATTTACATATATATATATATATATATATATATATATATATATATATATATATATATATATATATATAATATATATATATATATATATATATATATATATATATATATATATATATATATATATATAGAGAGACGCTGATTGAAATTCATGCCAACAAAGGTAAGTTTAACATAAACCTTAACTTCCATGATTACGATACAAGATCTAGAGATACTATTAGAGGACAAGGTTTTAGGTTGACAAAGAGCATAAAAAATTCGACTAACGTTGGTTTGTATAACTTTTTGACAGATCAAGTAAAAAGTTATAACTTTTTGACAGATCAAGTAAAAAGTTTTCACTTGTTATCGTTTAAGCTTAAAATCAAATCACACTTTTTGAAACATTGTTTTTAATCAACCACGGAGTACCTAAGTACAGCTTTTACACAATATTACTAGTTTAGTCAGGGTATTTGCCTATTATGATGATATTTCATGTTTTTATATTTTTATTTATTGTGTTTTTCGTTTCTTAAACTGTTAATATCAAATATCTGTTTGTAATGTTTCAATCTATAAAAACTTTATATTTATTTTAAAAACTTTATATTTTTAAGTTTCCGGCTGTTCTCCGTGCGTAGAGGTTTACTCTCTGGCTCTGGAACTCACTTCAGCAATGTATGTTACCTGAAGTCATATTTAATTTAATACTGAACATCACAGTTTTTTAACAACAAGATGTATAATCTTTTATAACTATATGTAATTTAAAGGGTTTTTACCCATGTATTTTGGTGGCTCAGTCATTTTAGCCTAGCAATTTTAAACCTGATGATGGACTGTTTAGTCCGAAAACGTTTGTTTTTTTGATGTAGCCCTTTTAAGGGTTTTTTAAATAAATATACCCACTTACGAAGACTAACCTCCTTTTTTTTATATTTATGTATGTAAAGATGATCCCCAGAATGCAAATCACGCTGAGTTCACTGCAGAGAGAACCAAACATGCTAAAGTCAGAGGTAGAAAAATCAAAAAATCTCCTGGCGCACACCAGACCACCGCAGAAGTTTTAAAAGAGACTTAAGATGTTGGAGTAAATGTTATGCATATGATCTGCAAAAATATATGGGAAACCGGAGAGTGGCCCAACGACTGGACAACATCCACTTTCATCCCTATATTCAAAAACGGAACTCCACTAGATTGCAGCAACTACAGAACAGTAACCCTAATATCCTATGCAAGCAAAGTTCTACTTCATGTAATACATGAAATACTAAAAGCTTTTCTATTGCCTTAGATATCAGAAGAAAAGGGCACAAGAGAACACATCCTTAATGTCAGACAGCTAATCGAAAAACTCGTGAATTCAATACCCCTATGCTTATGTGCTTTGTGGATTACACAAAGGCCTTCTATAAAGTCAAATGGCAGCATCTATGGTTCATACTTGCGGAATACTTAGTACACCCCACTACTTAATTCAACTAATTAGAAGTCTATATAAAATAATAATAATATAGAAAATAATAAGTGCACAGTAAAAATAAACAAAACCCGTTCCGATTATTTCAGAACAGAGGCAGGTGTCAGACAGGGTTGCATAATCTCGCCAACTCTGTTTAATATCTACAGCGAACACATTATGGGAAAGGTAGTAGACGGATGGTAGGGTGGAAAATCAGCAGGAGGTCAGAAAATCAATAACTTGAGATATGCTGATGACACTTTAATAATCGCGGCAAATCAAGAAGAAATGAAAGACATAATGAGATGTCTGGAGGAAGAAAGCAAAACATATGGACTAAAGCTAAATAGGAGTAAGACAAAGATTATGATAGTAGACAGAGCTCGGAATAATCTTTAACACATTAAAGAAATCGGGGGCTTTGAAGTAGTAAATAGTTTCATATACCTGGGGTCCCTAATAACAAATGACGGAGGGTGTGACAGAGAGATACGTAGAAGGTTGACTATTGCTATAACAGCTATGATGAAACTGGTAGCAATTTGGAAAAATTCTACCATAACAATACACACAAAACCAAAGCTGGTAAGGGCGCTCATTTTTCCCGTAGCCACATATGCATCCGAAACGTGGACCTTAAAGAAAGCGGATAAAAATAAACTAGACGCTTTTGAAATGTGGGTATACCGCCGCATGTTGAGAATATCCTGGATTGATCATCGCGCTAACGTATCGATATTAGAACAATTTAAAGTAAAGGATAGATTGCTTAAAAAATACAACAGAGATATTTGCAGTATTTTGGACACATTGCTAGAAGAACAGGTACGATGGAAAAACTGATAGTCGAGGGTAGAGTTGAAGGAAAGAGACCTAGGGGAAGATCTCCAAGCCGTTGGGTAGATCAAACAAAAATATTGATTAACCAAAGGTTTGATGAAGCCGAACAACTAGCCCAGGATAGAGAAGGATGAATAGATATCGTGAAAAAACTGTAAAGGCCTAATGGTGTCACCACATCCCAAAAGGGATTAGGACTGAGGAGTAGCCCTAATAGCACATGTACGTCCAGTGGACGTCCATAGTACGTCCCTCGCGGACTTTAGGGACGTCCCTCGAACGTCCGCTTTGGTCCTATTTACGTCCGTTTTACGTCCTATATTGGTCCGAATGTCGCTGCGCCAAACGTCCTATGGACGTCCATTTTACGTCCCGAGCGGACGTAAAATGGACGTACCGGGACGTTAATTGGACCTTAATCGGACGTCCATAATACGTCCAGAGAACTTACTTGACGGACTTTTGTGATATTTTCGGACATCTATTTTAGCGCTCAGGATGTAAATTAGACGTCAACGCCATTGCATAAAGTACTAAAAGTGGTGTCATCCTGTGCATATTAAGAATGTATTTTGGTAAATAAAACTTAAATGTTTAAAGAAACCTACATTTATTATTACATTTATTTATATTTATTTATTATTAACAAACGGGACAAATTCACTGCCAAAATTATGCAAAAATGTAACATTACAGAAATATAAAATAATTTTGTGTAATAAAACATAAATGTTTAAAGGAACTAACATTTATTATTACATATATTTATTTATTATTAACAAATGGAACAAATTCACTGTCAAAATTATACAAAAATGCAACATTATAGAAATATAGACAAAATTACAGATAAAATAAAATATACATGAATAAAATAAATAAGTACACATTTTATAATAAGTTTCATTTAGCATTTAAGTGCTTCAAATAGTACCTAAAGCTATTGATATGAAAGTTTTAGACCATCTCTATGTGTGAAACATAATTAGTTCTGTGGTAAGGAACATGGAAATGTAAATTCTGGCACAGTGAATGGGAAGGAATATGAAAACAAACTAGCTGAAGCAATTCAGTAGATTGGTTATTTTATAAACAAGTTGAAAAATAAAGATTAAAAGGTAACACTTTTGATAAGAGAATCCAGATTCAAGAAATTGATCATATCAGAATAAGAATATGGTCTACACAATTTACAAGAACAGTTGATGCTTGTAGATGAGTCAGTATAAATCTAATCAACATAAAAATGGTTTTTAATACAATTATAACATAATCAATATAAATTAGTTGAAGTTGAACGACTAGACAGTAAGTAAACCACGCTGATCAGTATGAAGCTGATTCTTCAAATTTACTGTCAAAAAATCAGTCAGTAAAGCCTCGGCAATTTTAGGAATAGCAGAAAGAATTATAATGGAACAATAATTAGGAATCAATGAGTTAAGGATAAAATCAATAAATAAATTGTGATGAAAAGTGACCCTCAGTCAGAGATTTATAAAAAATAAGCCATAGATGCCTACATAAAAAGAATGCACAATTCCCTAAAAATAAGTTAAGATATTATGTCTGGACCAAGACCTTTATTGGTATTAAGACACTGTAAGCATGCGTCACAAATTTTAACAGTTAAAAGAGTGAATATGGCTGTTACTTATATGGGATCTTTGACTACACTTGTCTACACAAGAGAAAGAAGGATTGTGAATACTGCTAAAGAAATTGACAAAATTGTTAAAATTGTGGTTCTTAAAAACAGAACCATTCAACTTCCCTTATCCCTTCCCATTCTGATTTCCCTTACAATTGTGTGGTCAGCAATTAAAAGCAGACAAGTCAATTGTTGAGTTTTAAAGTTGAAATCATAAGTATGAAAAAGATCAATACCTAATATGGAACTTTGTTTGTTTTCTTTCAACAGTAGATTAATTTTTAGGTATTTATTTTTAATATATAAAACAGTCTCAAAAATTGGACTGTTCCTTTGTGTCCATGAACTACACAATTTAAACATTACAAAATTAATCATATTTGCTAATGCAACATGCAAGTTAAATTTTATCTACCCTCTCTTTAAATATTTCGTCAGATATTTCATTATCAAGTTTCAACTTCCTTCCCCATGGCAACGCTGGTTTTGGAGTTTTTCCAAGCAACATCTGAAAACAAAATTAATGTACATTCATAAATTGAATAAACTAATTTCAGATTTAGTTCATTATACTTTGCTTCTTGTGAATAAATCATAATTCAAAGTAAAATTAAACACACAAATTTCAAGTGCTGTAGTTTTAATGAATCTCACCTGAATTAGAAGAATACCAACCCAACCATTGGTATTTATTTCTAATGACCAAATGAGCAGTAATTACACTTTTATACGTAAAAAATAAAAATAACTGTATAAATAAAATATATGGCCAACAACAAACCTTTATCTCATAAGCTAGCTGTAGTTCTTAAAGCAATCTCATAGCCAGACCTGAACATTTATGAATTGGTAAAATTTGCCATCTAAATTACATATAAGACACAGTTAACAATATGCTTAATCAGCTGTATGTGGCCACTTAAGTGATAGTGTAAATTCTTAAATGCACCTTAAATTGATTTACGTTTATAAGTTACAAACCTTTTAAAATCAGAGCTATATGTGTGTCCTCAAAAACTTTATATTGCTTTTTCCCTAGCCAACTATCTTTTCCTTGAATTTTATTCCAGATCAGCTTCTTATGGCTTCTCCTAACAAATTCATTTATGGTCTCCTCACCAATTTTGGAAAGCTCATTATCCTAAAATATAAATCAACATGTAACAGTAATCGGCAAATCTATAGAATAAGTGCCGAGAATTTGACACAAACGTCATGTCAAATTTGTGTCTGCGGTATTGCCATGTCCTTATTATGTGTATGTTTTATGCCTCAAATATGCTTTGAAACAGTACATTTTTATTATATTATTTTATGAAATCGGGTATTTTTAAAAAATTTTTGAATTTATATGAAACACGAACGAATGAATATTTGTTTCTTTTGATATTAGTTGCAGTTAGTTATTAGAAAAAAAAATTATAATTGGCCTTTGGTAGATTAGTAAATAAACTTGGCAATACTGTCAAAATTTTGAAAACAGTAGTTGCCAGATGTTTAGCAGATTTCAATTTTATGATTTTTATGACTATTATAATTTTGGGGTGAAATGGTACCTGAATATCGTTTTGTTAATGTATTAGCTAGTTACTGGAGCTTGTTCAGATCGATATTTTTTCAAATTTACGTTGCAGAGATTAAATTATCATTATTGACAATTTAATCCTTAAAATGTGAATAACAAAGTAAAAATATATCGGTAAAGATGTTTAATTAAATTTAATAACTCAAGAATTTAAAAGCTTAAAAAATTTAATTAAAATTATAATAAATTAAATTTAAATTAATTAAACTACTTTCAAAAACTTAAAAAGAATGTTGAATGTTAATTAATATTATATCGCATGCTCTTTCAAGGATTTATTTGTGATATGGCAACACTGCCAAATACAGATCTGTCACTAATCTTCTGTCAGTTCCTCGGCACTTGTTCTATAGGTCTGCCCAGTAATCTAACTACCCCACAAACTTGATCATCCATGCTTAATTATTTTAGCTTAAACTATCTAATAAAAAAAACAGCCTCTGTTACAAAATCAATCAAACATTCATTTGCAAATTTTGGTTTCTCATAACCATGGTAAATGCCTATTAAATCTACAATTTTAGGATATATAAACAAGATAGGATATGACTGACTACTAAAACTCTTTTTTTAGTGGGATTCCTTCAAAATGTACACAAATTTCTATAATATTGTTTTTTTGTGAAGATAAAAATACCATTGAAATTTGAATCATATGGATCAGAGTATTTGTTCTCTGGGTGAAGCGAAGCAAGAAGGGTTCTAGCATTTGAACTCAAATGAGAAAGGTCAGGAACTTCTTTATGAATTTTTAATAAATCACCTACATAAGGGATAGGACAAACCTCAATGCCACATGCACTTTTTAGAGCCACACAAGATCGAGAGGATTATGCCATAATTGTTGTTAACATCCACTAATTAGATAGGGCAACATAAGAAGAAGAATAAATCACCTAGTATTAAAGGACAAAGTCCAGTTGAATAACTTATTAGAAAAATTAAAAACATCTCGATAAGGTTCTCCAGAATTCTCCTTACAACCATGTTTAGACATTTCTTCAGTTTCATCGAAAGAAGAGCTTTGTAAAGGATCACCGGAATGGTCGTCCACGTGGTAATTTGCATTATTTTAGGTACTTAACATGTTAAGTTTAAATCGGAAGTATTGTAACCTGAACTATTTGAACTGAATGATCAGTCAGGGATTTCGAATAAAAGTTTGAAGGAGATGGAATATCGAGGTTATTAATATTTTCAACAAAATTCTCTACGTTTTTCGTAACCTTCCTCTGTTAATGACGCTTAGAAACAAATCGTTTTCTTTTAAACATAATTAATAAGTAAAAATTACACTTACCTTTAAAATAAAACCAATTTCTGAAGTATAACCTAACACGTGGTACCAAACCTTTAACAATATACAATAACCACAACACAAAGCCAAGCATCAAAAAACCAATGCACTGTATACTGCTTAAATAGAATTCTTTTATTTCATTTATTAAAGCATTAATAATATAAATATAATTGCCATTTGTTTAAATAGGTATGATATGACAGACAATGACATTATCATCATTATTTTGTTGTCAGCCAGAATATATACTACCACTTGTTCATCTTTGAAAAATGATTTCAAGATTCATCTTGTTGATAAAAATCATATTTTTACTTATTAGAATTAGCAAACATATATCATCGTGATAACTAGAATAATAAAACAATTGTAACGAATTATCTAGAAATAAAATATTTTTACACTTTACCTTTAACAAAAACATGTTTTGGATATATTAAACTATACAATTTTTAATTAATCATGATTTAACCTTTTCGCTTTTAATTATTTTATTAACGCAAATAATTTTTTATTTTATTAAAATATTTGCTATTTGATCCCATAATTGGTAAATGTCAGATGTCCAGAAAACGTCCGAGGTCGGACGTCCAGAGGACGTCCGAGTATGGACGTCCATGGAACGTTCGGGTACGGACGTCCAGAGAACGTCCATATTTAGTCCACCCAAAGTACGTCCCACTTCGTACGTCCATAGTACGTCCATTTTACGTCCAGGGACGTCCGGACCAAAACTGGACGTATATTGGACGTCCATAGGACGTCGTGTGTTACTAGGGAGGAAGGATGTAAAGATTATCACTATTCCTTTGACTTGTCAAAAACAAAACTATTTTGTATATTGACTAAACAAATTCTATTCTATTCTACTATTCACTTACTTCAAAGTGAATATTTTATTTTTGCCTATTTGTAAGAGTTTATTGTTGTTGTTATTGTTTGTTTAATATATTACTTACTGATCCTTTGCTGTTATTAAACTTTTGTCAATTAGATTGTTTCTTTTTCGGCCCGGGTGGATTTGAACCTGTTAAGCTTTCTTTTGATAATTGGTTAAAAATAAAATAAATTGAGTAATGACTATTGTTATAATATGAGTATCCATGATTTCCATTTCATTGAAAAGTTTTATGTTAACGTATTATATTTAAATTAATTATCATTTTACCTTTAAATTAAATCAATAGTTTCTGCATTTTATAACTTTGACACTTAATAAGTTACACAACCAGAGGCTTCATTTATTAAAACACAATAAACACTCACCAATAAGCTGCAAATCCTCTAGCTCAATTTCGTTATCGATAATATACTGTCCAATCAGTTCTCCTAGTTTTTTTGTATTAGCCGCGGCTGTCTCGTAGTTGGTAGCACCTTTTGCCCAATCTACAATAACAACATTGTGAGGTTCTATTTTATTTAAGTAAGCATTTCTTGCCGTTAGTACCCAATAACTTTGACCATTTTGGCCGTACCCGTGTATGAGGAATTTAGTGGGGTATATGTCGAAATGTGAGCCCTTTGGGCCGTTTTTGTTCATTCCGCGGTCTAATACTTTGTATGTGTCGAACACAACTTGAGTTTCGTTTAGATTAGCATCATCGAAATTTACTGGTGATGTGAGATTTCCAAAATCTGAAAATTATATTGATTAGATATATAAATCGTCATAAAGAAAAATATGCAACAGATTAAAAACTGTTTTCAGTAGTAATATCCCTAGGACATTGATAACAGACGAGATAATTTCATGACAATCGAAAGCTCGGTCCTTGGTAACAGCACGAAGCCGAAGGCTGAGTGCTGTTATCAAACAAGGAGCTTGAGAAATTTGTCATGAAATTATGAGGCATTCATATTCATCAATGTCCGAGGGATATTCGGCGGATAATTTTTCGAAAAAAAAATCATAACTCAACATAACGTAACATTTATTTATTAAAAGTACAGTTAGTGAAAGTACAATTATTAAAATGTAAGGTAACATTAGATTCGTTACTGTTCTCTACTATAGAAGATCTATTACCACGCATAATATTTATAATCTTATAAACATTTTGAAATTTATTTGGATGAAGTTGTCAAACTCGATCGTTTTGTCATGGGGATTGAAAATTGCACTGAATGTAATTATCAGTCTAATGTTGACATGCTTGGGTGAAATTGTTCCACATGACACAAAATGACGAAATTTGAATGGTTGTTAGAACAGTCGAAAAATTATCAAAGTAATTTAATTCTATCTCTTTAAATATGCTATTACCTTCCTATAATATTCTAGGTAAAATATGACATATCTTTATACCAAAAATTACCTACTATAAAATCGAAATCGATTTCAAATTTCAACTGACTTAATATTCCTACAAATTTAAAGGTTTCTTCACTCGCAATGGAAAAACGGAAGGCATGCCTCTAGACACAAGGCCTTAAGGAAAACCATTGAGCTAGAATCTATGGAGGGGACATCATGTGAATAAAAAGGACCTCACTTCGGCCATATGGTCGTAGTGTCAGATCGTGTAAGATTGTTTACGTTTGTTTGTTTATATATATATATATATATATATATATATATATATATATATATATATATATATATATATATAGTCGATTAGCTACAGTACTACTGATAGGTTGTCGTTAGTGAGCTCCGAGTAATTAAGTAATTTTTATAACGAGAATAAAAACTTTAAAAACTAATTAGTGAATATTGTTTTTGTGAATGCTAAATGTAAGATGCAGCAAGTGAAACTATTATTAATCTAATGTGTAAGTCTGATTTTATTATAAGCAATTTCACGGGGGAATATTGCTAATAAATTAAACTAAAGTTACAAAAACTGACAGTAATTAAAATACACAAATAAATATTATTATTTGTAACTGTATTTCTTAAACTATTTGGTGGATAATGAGCAACTTCGACAGTGACATCTCAAACACAGTCTTGTTAGATAAACTCCGAGCAGAAATCAGTAAACAATCTGCAGACTTAAAAAAGTCTATATTACAAGAAATCAAAGATGAAACACAAACACTGGCCAACAAAATAAATAAAACAGTAAAGAATCTTGAAGAAAAACATAATACAGTGCTTGACAGATGTATACAGTTAGACAGGCAAATAAGAAAAAATAATATACTGATATATGGAATAGATACACCTGAAAACGGAGATATAATTGCAGAAGTACTTAAGTTGTTCCACGAGGTGCTTAAAGTCGAAGTGTCAGTTTGCGAAATAAACAATATTTATCAAATAAAAATAGGAACTAAAAACGCAGTTAAAGTTGAATTTCTATCTTATCTAAAGAAAAATATAATATTAAAAAACTGTAGTAAATTGCGTAATACCAATATTTATATAAATCACGATCTATGCTACGAGGATAGACAAGACCAAAATCTTCTCACTACACACCTGAAACTAGCAAGAGAAAAAAAAATTTATGCTAAAATTCGTGGCAAATACTTAGTCATAAATAATGAAAAATACTCTGCCAAAGACTTGAGAAATATGGAAAAGGATGAAAATGAAGATGATGTTAAATCAGAAAAACCTAAACCACACAGTGCACCAGAAACACCAACACCAAATTCTAAAACATTTTTTGAAGACAGCATCTCACAATTTACCTTAACTACGCCTAAGAATTCATCACAAAAAGAAGAGGCTGCCCAACAACAAAACCTTAACCTGATAACTACACTGACTGAAAAACTGACAAAGGAATCAGATACTGATAAAAGTAAATCAGAAAAAAAGAATTCGGAAAAGAGAAATATTGTAGACCATAAAGAAGTACTAAGAGGAGTGGAGAAGAACAAAAACGAAGATAGACACGAAGAAGGAAAAAAGCCAAAATCAAGACACAACTCTACTTCAGGTAACAAAGAAAGAGTTAATACTCGGCAACAAAGCAGTAAGTGCTAGAATCTTGTAAGACAGTTATTTTTTTCTTAGGTATTTCACTATCAATTTCTTTTTTTTTTTGTTGTTGTTATAGTATGGATCCATACATTCGTGATGTAGACTACATTCCCGTAATTACTCATAAACCTAAAGATATTGAAGATTTTAATAAGTTAACTGCGGATTTTTATAAAGGTAAAAATAATGAAAATATTACCATTTTACACCAAAATATTAGAAGCCTTAATAAAAATCTAGATCAGTTACGATTAAATATACAACAGATGACACTTGATTTTGACTGTATATGTCTAACGGAAACATGGATTATTCCTGATATATCTTTATTTCAAATAGATAATTATAACATTTTATATAATGAAGGAGATATAAATCAAAATGATGGTGTCATTGTATACATAAAAAAGAATTTAAGATTTACGTGGAGGGTTGTAAACATTAGTGTATGTAAGGTATTAGAGATAACTATATTAGGTAAATATAATCAAAATACAATATTAACATTAATTTATAGACCGCCATCGACGGATGAAGAACATTTTTGCATTGGTCTGGATAAATATTTAGAGAGCACTAAAAATGATAATTGTAAATATCATGTTTTATTGGGTGATATTAATATTAATATCAAAAACATGGCACCAGATTCGTCTGAGTATCTAAGTATATTGAGTGAACATAATTTTTTATCAATAATAAATAAAAATACTAGAGTTCAGGGCGATTCACGAAGTTGTATAGATCACATTTTTGTAAAAAGTAAGTTTTGTATTAGTAATAATGTTTTACCAGCTGTTCTGGATCTTTCTGTGACTGATCATAAAGCAACATTTGTAAGTTTTTCTTTTGAAAAAAATAAAATTGAATGCAAAGTTAAGTTTAGAAAAATAGTTAATTATGATGATTTAAAAAGAGATCTTAGTTTTCAAAATTGGGATCACTGTTCTAATATGAATAACCCTAATGCTTTCTTAAATAATTTTACCGACACCCTTATTTCATTAATCAATAAAAATACCAAAGAAATAAAGAAAAAAAAATGTGAGGTTAAGCGAAATATCTGGATGACAGACGGCTTAATAAAATCGGTTAATAAAAAAAATCAACTTTACAGAAAATCTATGAACAACGCAGATGACCTAACATTAAAAAAAGAATACACAATTTACAAAAATAAATTAAATAAGCTAATTATTGAGGCAAAAAAAAATTATTTTCACACGGAAATCACAAAATATAAAAATAGTTCTAAAGGTCTGTGGAACACTATTAAAAAATTGGATAATAACAGTACAAAAAGTGAAATTTATTCCATTTTAAATCAAAATAATGAGTTAGTTACGGATAGTCAGAATATTAGCAATATTTTTAATGATTATTTTTCTAAAGTAGGGTGCACGCTTGCTAAAAATATTAATACATCATCTTCTCCTGATCCTCCAAAAAATACATGTCATAGTACGTTTTTTCTAAAACCCGTTACAAAATCAGAAATTCAGAGTATTATTCATTCCCTAAAACCAAAAAAGTCTCCTGGCATAGACAATATTTCAGCCGATCTGTTAAAGATCATTAGTAATTATATTGTTGATCCGATAACTGAATTAATAAATAAAATATTTGAGCATGGTATATGTCCTGACCTTTTTAAAAAAGCTGTAATTATACCTATATTTAAAAAAGGTGATACAAAATTGATGCAAAATTATCGTCCTATATCACTTATTACCAGCCTGGCAAAAATTTTTGAAAAGGCCTTAGCTGAACGAGTAAATCAATATCTTACAAAGTTTAACCTGCTGTCTCCAAACCAATTTGGCTTTAAGAAGGGATATTCTACTACAGATGCTATAACGTCCGCTACTGATTATTTATATAAGATGCTGGATAATGGCTCTCCTACTTTAGCGATATTTTTGGATCTAGCTAAGGCATTTGACACTGTTAGTCATCAGCAGTTGTTAAGTGCTTTGGATCATCTTGGAATAAGGGGCATACCGTACTTACTATTTCAGAGTTATTTAAAAAATAGATCGCAAATTGTTAACATTAATAACAAAGTAAGTGCTGAAAAAACCATTGAGTATGGTGTGCCGCAAGGTACTGTTTTAGGACCTTTACTGTTTTCAATATATATAAATGATCTAGCATCAATGAAAATAAATGGAAAGATTATTTGCTTTGCTGACGATACTGTCATACTTTACACTAGTAATTCGTGGGAAAAACTTAAAACTTTGGCAGAAACAGAAACTGTAAAGGTTCTAGAATGGTTAAATAGGAAATTACTGACAGTTAATACTGATAAAACTTATTTCATACCATTTTCAATATACAAAAACAATTTACCTGACTTCTTGGAATTAAATCTAAGCTATAATAACGCGTTCATTAAAATAAATAGGAAAAAATACATAAAATACTTAGGAGTTTATATTGATTGTCACTTGAAGTGGGATGTGCATATTGATATGGTATGTAAAACTCTAAGAATGTTATTATACAAATTTAGATATCTTAGCAATATTCTTAATTTGTCTTACTTAAAGACAGTATACTATTCTTTGATAGAGTCACGTCTTAGATATGCTATTTTAGCATGGGGTGGAACATATGCTTCTTATTTAAATAAACTCGAAATATTACAAAGAAGGTTTTTGAAAATAATGCTAAAAAAATCTCGCTTATATTCTTCAGAACTTCTTTATCAGCAAGCAGATATTTTTAGTATAAGACAGTTATATTTGTTTAACATTATTTTGCTTACATACAAAAATAAACATGTTTTAAAATCAATAGATCATACTTACAGCACTAGAAGAAAAGTTCATGATTATGTCCAAATTACTAGTGCTTATAAATCAATTGGAAAACACAATTTTTCTTACTTCATTCCTAGAATATTTAACTATTTACCCGAGATTTATAAAACCTATATAAGAAAAATCAACTCATTTTACATGATTAAATCCATTTTTACAAAATATCTGAAGAACACTGGATCTGAAATTTTGGATGAGATCTTCTTTAATTAAATTCATCGTATAAATAATACTATACAGTATACTTTGCAACAATTTTATATATTATCAACCTAATGATACTGTAGAAATATTGAATAGTGTAAATGTGTGTAATCCCTGAGCACAACCTCTGGTTCATCAGGGAAGTTCACCTTTGTTTATTTGCCAACAACTATTTTATTGTACAAAATATTTAACTTTGAATTTGTAATTGTAATATATAGAACTAACATATTGTAACATTGTTTTATATTGTATATTGGGAAGTAAATAAACATTATTATTATTATTATTATAGTAAACTCTTAAATATAGGGGAAATCTGCAAGAAAGACTCTAATGAGTATCAATTGTTTCGCCGAACGTTTTTGCCAAAAGGAATAATTTAACTTCTTCAGGGTTGAAAGAGAATAAATTATAATTAGCTACTATACATTTATCTATTAAAAAGCACTGTTGATCTTACCGTAACTTAGAATTGTAGAGTTAGAATGTTAAAAAACCTTATCTAGTAACAACATAGTGATCTTTTTGTGAAAAAAGTATTGTTACTATGTGAACAATAAATCTAAAAGATAGTTCATTGAAATGTCTTATATTTTCCTTAACGATTTTTCCAACAATGTTAAGAGTGACATTAAGAATCTAAGCGATATAAACAATTTCTTACTTAAATCAGATACCAAGAACAATACAACATCACAGATAACTAACTTGACTGATATATCCATTAACAACTAACCTACTTTAATAATAATTTTTATTAACTAAAAAGATAACATTTTCTTGCTTTTCTTAGATACATCTTAATAAGATATTATTATAATAATATATGAACAATATAATATAATAAAAACATTTTTTCAATTAAGACAATCAAAAATAATATTTCCCTAAACTGGGATTTAACTTCATTCTGTTTTATCAATGAACCTTAACGACATAAAGATACAAAAGAACTACTTGAAATGTCAGCACATGCGTTCTGATAAAAAAGCTCACATTTAAACTTTCAAACAATCAAAAATTTAGTTATTGCCGACAATTCAAAGAATTACTTCCTTTTAAATGTAGTTACATTAGGTTTTTAGATTAACCTTGGGTACACCTTTGCGTTTTAAGTTCAAAGCTACCATACATTTCGAACGGTAAAAAACTTTTTTTCACATAGTACTTAACAAAAAAAGCACTATGTTACTAGCTAAGTTTATTAACATTCGAACTCTACAATTCTAAGTTACGGTAAGATCAACAGTGCTTTCTAATAGATTTATAATATGGTAGTTAATTATAATTCTCTTTCAGCCATGAAGAAGCCAAATTAATTCTCTTTGGCGAAAACGTTCGGTGAAACAATTGATACTAGCGTCTTTCTTGCAGATTTCCCCAATATTTAAGAGTTTACTATATATATATATATATATATATATATATATATATATATATATAATATTGTTAATACCTAACTGTAATATTACATAGTGATAGTGCATAATATTGGTTTCCTGTTCTCAACATAGTTGCAGGAGCAGAAGCAATGTTGATAAAAATAATTTCAGGAATAACATTGCATAGGTTAGTATACAAATATGTAAAGAAAGTAATGGCCCGTACTTCAGAGCATAAATTAATAGAATTCATAGAAAATCTTATCAGTAACGTAGATCAGTTATTAATTTTTCAGTCATTATTGAATATTTTTAATACAAAAAATACATTGAATAAAGTTTACAAAATAGCAATTAAAACATCCTCTTTTAAATCCTAAAGAGCCCACCAAAAAGCCTAAAGACTTTTCATCGATGGTGATTTAAATGCTAAAGTAAACAAATATGAGAATTTATAAAAAAATGTAGTTCTTACCACAATTCGTTCCCGCAAAAACAGTCACTAATAGTAATAGTGACAAATATTGTAGCTCCATTATGTTTTTCAAAGTTTGGTCTGCAGCTTGTTTGCCCACAGTACATATAGGTACATACTTTCAAGCTCCGTTAGTTATGTAATCAGTGATAACGCAAAAAATTAACAGAGTAGAACTAATTAAACTAAAATCTTAATTCAAATAGAAAAGTGACTGAGCAATAACTTTCAGTTTTAAATATTCAATAACTTATTAAAAAGCAAATCATTATATATTATAAAGAAACAACTATTAACAATAAATTAATCGATTTTTTTTGAAAAGGCGTAAGTGACAAAATCCTAACTTTTGGGAAACTAAAAAAAACTACTTTTAGACTGAAATAAATTTTATTTCAATTTTAACTGTATTTTCTCAAATATATACCTAAGACGATTAGATTACACTTTTAAAACAATCAAAAGTAATTTTTGTTTATTTGTTAATTATTAAAAAACTTTGCTGACATACGCCCTTTTAAAAAAATTGAAATTTTAATGATAATAAATGACAAAAAAAAAGTTTAAAAAATATGGTTTTATTGTTTTATACAAATTGTCACTATATAAAAGAGAATTACAGCAATGAAAAATACTAAAATTTTTTTAAAGTTCTCAACAAATTTTTCCCTTCAGGAACATGTCTTTAAAACTTATCCTTCATTGTCTTCCTCTTCACTGAAATAACTTCCATTAAAGGCTTCCCTGGTTGTTAGCCAGTCAAATAAAGCTTCATAGTATTCAAAGTATTCATGTGGAATAAATTCTCTCAGTTTCTTGAGATCTTCGATCTTGGCTTTCGTTATTGAGATCTTATTAGTCTGGTATGCTAGTTGGTTGGTGAGAGTTAAACAATTTGACTGTTTTGCCATAAAAAAGTGTGGCTGACTAAGCCTTGTACTGTGTTGTGAGCTTTAATATAGCCTTTTTTCTCTTTGTCATAAACAAAATGGGATAAACTACTTAAGCTGAAATGTACTTTTCTCTCTATTGGGATATGCTTTCCTTTAGTTTCAGAGGAAATGCACGATTTTTTGTAGTGCTCTGAGTGGCAACTTTTAAAATCTAATATATCTGATGGGTTCACTTTCACTACAGTAAATTTATTAGTTTTTGAACTGTCTATTATAAGCTCAGTAACTTGGTGTAATGTAATAAAAATGCGGTCATGCTGACGCAAAACTTTGGCAATCGTGCCAAACTCCCTGTCACATGAAAGAAAGCTGTGGCCCCTTATAGGGAAAAACTTTGTTAAATTTGCCACTGTCTGTCAAATACAGGCAAATTCTAGAAAGGGCCTGATTCTTATTTTGTCTGCCACAGTTGTCTGCAAATAAACGAAGCGTGGTTTTAGTTGGTGGAATGTTTGTTAAGAAGCTGTTAAAAAAAAAACCAAAAACTTTATTGGGGCCTTTATAGCCTTAGCTTTCGTGATACAGGTAAATGTTACTTTTATGAGTCTTCAAATTGTAGATACAAAAGACATAAACAGAAACTTGTCTTAAGTAATACAGTTGCTGTACTGGTATTTTAGGTAGACATACTAACTTCTCAGAAAGTAATGGCCCGTACTTCAGAGCATAAATTAATAGAATTCATAGAAAATCTTATCAGTAACGTAGATCAGTTATTAATTTTTCAGTCATTATTGAATATTTTTAATACAAAAAATACATTGTTACTTTTATGAGTCTTCAAATTGTAGATACAAAAGACATAAACAGAAACTTGTCTTAAGTAATACAGTTGCTGTACTGGTATTTTAGGTAGACATACTAACTTCTCAGAATTTTCCCGGGGTACCAATGATCCTCGGTCTCTTGAAAAAAAAAAAAACAAAATAATATATACACCTATTTATTTTCGTTTAAAAATGGTTTCGCAGCATTCGTTTTAATATAATAAACACCCCTTGCGGATTTATCAACATGTTGTCCAAAAATAACTTCTTTCCCATCTCGCTTTGGAGTAACTGTAACAAAAAAGTGTTCATCTTCGTTAAATATTGCTTCCTTAGAAATTGCTTTTGTAGCTACAGATTCTATAAAGAAAAGTGTAGATCTGGCATGGCTACAGTTACCTGGAACAAAGGGGTTTTGTCATAAGTTGTGGATAATATTGGTAATTTAACTGTTAAATAACAATAACATACTGTATTGTATAAATTATATTATGTAACTTATAATAACAGTTATTAACAGAATTAACTTGTTGTATATAACTCACAGTCAAATTCGTAAAAAAATTATATCGGCGAAGGAGATCTGGATGACTACACTTTGCGCCGAGGCTGAAAGCCTATATAAACTCGGCGACAGCTTCAATCTTCACAAGAAAATTAAGGAAATTGCTGGTGTCTTCAAGAAAAAACAAGTCACTGGTATACATAATGACCAAAATGAATTAATAACGGACCCTAGCGATATACTTAATACTTGGAAAATGTACACAGCCAATTTGTTCAATGATGACAGAACACAAAAACCACCACAACTGGGAGACCATTTGTATGGCCCAAGTATTTTGAAAGCTGAAATTGTACACGCTATCAAACTATTAAAAAGTAACAAAACCCCAGGACCAGATGATATGTACCCAGAAACAATCAAGTTACTTATTGAAGAAAACCTAGACATTATTATCAAGCTCTTTAACGACATCTACGATACGGGCCAGATTCCAAAAGATTGGCTTCGATCTACATTTATCGCCCTACCAAAAACACCATGTGCGAACTTCTGCAAGGACCACCGACTAATAAGCCTAATGAGTCACTTTTTAAAACTTTTCCTGAGAATACTTCACACTAGATTGTTTAAGAAATGTGAAGAGGTCAGTGGATGGAGTCAGTTTGGTTTCAAAAATGGACTTGGCACGAGAGAAGCGATCTTTAGTATGCAAACATTGATACAGAATTGTTTAGATCAAAGAAAGGATGTTTTTATCTGTTTCATCGATTACGAGAAAGCATTCGATAATGTAAAACACGAATTGATGATAAAATACCTACAAGAGTTGGGATTGGATGCAAAGGATATAAGAATCATCGCCAATCTGTATTGGAATCAGACAGCAACAGTACGTCTTCAAAATTCCAACGAAACAGAAGATTTCTCCATTAAAAAAGGAGTAAGGCAAGGTTGTATACTGTCCCCAATGCTGTTCAATTTATACGTAGAAAAAGCCTTCGCAGAAGCAGTGGAAGACTCTAATAAAGGTATTAAAGTTAACGGCATATTTATTAATAACATCAGGTATGCCGATGATACAGCCATAGTGGCAGATAACATCGAAGATCTTCAATGCCTTTTAAATGATCTAACTCTTGCAAGTGAAGCTCGGGGTTTGAAAATAAATATCAAGAAGACAAAATCAATGATTATAAGTAGAAATGATTACCCCAACGCAAAGATATATGTCTCTGGAGAAGAAATCGAACAAGTCAGGCAATTCAAATACTTGGGATGTTTGCTGAATGAGGGTTGGGACCCCGAGAATGAAATAAAGAGCAGAGTTGAACAAGCCAGAAATGCTTTTTTGAGGCTTCGTAAGTTTCTGACTGATCGCAAATTGGACTTCAACCTCCGATACAAGATGCTTAAGTGTTACGTGTGGCCTGTTCTCCTGTACGGAATGGAAGCATGGACGTTAAAGGCCAGTTCCATTAACAAACTTGAAGTGTTTGAAATGTGGTGCCTGCGTCGAATGCTCAGAATATCATGGACGGACAGGGTCAGAAATGAGGAAGTACTCAGAAGAGCGGGTTTACAGGATAGGGAACTTTTTAATTATGTAAAAAGTAAGAAGACTGCATACTTGGGGCACATTATACGAGGAGAACGATACACTTTTCAGCAACTGATACTCGAAGGGAAGATAGAGGGTAGGAGAGGTCTCGGACGTAAAAAAATGTCATGGCTGCGCAATATTCGACAATGGACAGGAATCCACAGCTATGAAATGCTTCGCAATGCTGCTAAAAACAGAATTATTTAATCCAGAATATTTAACATCTCACCTGACAAGACGATGTACGGTGGACGCCTACGCAGAAATGCACGGCACCTTAAGAAGAAGAATATAACTCGTATATAGACTATTGTTATGTAATGTACAGTGTGGAAAAGCCAAATGGTATAAATGCGATCATTAATAAATGGAGGCGTGTTAAAAAAATCTCGCACACGTCGATTGTTATTTTTAGTTGCGCATATTTTGCAATAAAATCTTTTTATACAGTGTAAATCATATAACCGTGGTCAATACCAACTTTTTTATTTCAACTAAAACACCCTATATATTATTTACTTTTCGATGTCTCGATTTATTGCAAAATTTGCTACAACACACTCAATACCCAAATTCATAGTAGCAGGAGACTGGAATTCCAAACACACCACATGGGATTCGAGATTAATCACGCCTTAAAGGTCAAGTATTAATGGATATTCTTCAACAAGATAACCCAAGATACTTATCTACAGAAGAACCCACATACTGGCCAACGGATGCCAACAAAATCCCAGATTTGGTAGATTTTGCTGTAACAAAAGGAATATCTGAGATTTTTAGTGCAATAGAGTCAAACTTCGATTTGACATCAGATTATAGTACAATAATAATAACTCTAAGTTCACAAATAATATTTAAAACACCACCACCCAAACTCACTACTAAAGAAAAAACTGGGATGTTCTCCAAAATTCTGTAAATACAAAGATTAAACTAGATATTAGGATAAAAGAAAACTAAGATGCAGAGAAAGCAGTAGACTATTTAACAACAGTTTTACAAACAACGGGATGGGAAGCAACGCCCCAGCGCCAAATAAGTGTGCAAAAAAACTTTTTCCAGTTTAATGTTTCGAACCTCTTACATAAAGACCACTATATGGAACATATATGGAAAGCAACAAAAAAATTTAAACGACCGACAATAACAAATTCACCTTTAAGAAAAACAGATATGACTTGGGCCCGCACAAACGCAGAAAAAAACAACAGTATTCGCAGAGCATCTTGCAATTGTATTCGCAGCACCAGATAATAATAACGATGACGATGATGATATAGGAATGTACCTCGACACTTCATGTGAACTATCTCTTCCTCTGACATTTACTTTGACAGTGGTTCGACAACAAATAAAAATGCTAAATCCTAAGAAAGCTTCAGGCTATGATTTGATAACAGCAGAATCACTTCAGAAGCTACCGAGAAAAGTAGTGGTATTATTAACAATAATATACAACAGCATACTACGTCTTCGATACTTTTCAATACAATGAAAATTTGCTCAAGTTACTTGAGCGAAGATATTGATGTGTTTGTCCTTACACCTTGTCCTTACACCTTCTCCTGATGGCCTTCTTTCGCGCACCAGTCATAGGTCGCTGGTTTTTTCCCTTGGGGAACAAGGTTTTTCCTTAGGGAAATAGGTTCACTTTATAGTCTTTGAAGGACCTTCCAGAAAACTGGGACAAATGAAAGATTCGAAAAGAACGTTTTAATAAGTCTATTTAAACAATAACAACGTATTTTGGACGCAGATAACTTGCATACGATAGCTGATTTATGAAAGTAAACTTTATAGAACTATAAAACTAGATAACTTTTCGCTGATACAACATTGACACGAACTTATTAATATACCGACTGGTTTAAACCTTCTGAATGCTGCTTGGGGCGAGTAGAGTCTAGCGCTCTATCGATGCTGGAATTTGAACTGATACTGTCCTGACTTGAACTGCGAACTGATGTCCACTCTCTCCCTCCAATCACTCGGCTTGTAATTTTTTTTAACATTCAGAAATCTCCCTCCTGAGCCCCTCGACGTATTTTAAGGATATGTTTACATTTCAAATACCTTCGACTTTCAGTTCATTGGTAAAAACTACCTGAGAAGAGTATTTGTCTCAACTTTCGGAATTTTCGAATGAGTCAAACGGATAATTTGGAAAATACTAATCCTTTCATTGTTACGATTCTATGAAGGTTTTAGAAACTTGTGTAGAAAGTTAATTAAATGCAAGCTATCGGCGCTTTACAGATTATTAGTTGGTACAAAAAATTTTTATAAATCTAAACTAATATACAGTATGATATAATACTATGATACAAAAATAAACTAAAAATATTAAATATTGTTGTTACGCAACATTACTATGATTCCGAAACCTGGTAAGTATACAACGCAAGAAAATTCATATCACCCTATAAGCCTACTCCCAATAATGTCAAAAGTATTTAAAAGGCTTCTTTCTTCTCAGAGTGCCGTCTCCCTACGGAGGTTGGCAATCATAATGGCTATTTTTATTTTAGAACTTGCTGCTCTAAACAAATCAATCGATCTGCATTGGTACCAATCACGTAGATTCTTTAACCATGAGTTCTGCCTTCGGCCAACAGATCCTTCCTTGAATCTTTCCCTGTATTATCAGTCTCAAAATTTCATATTTTGGTCCCCTCATCACGTTGCCTAGGTATTCCAGTTTTCTGGTTTGTATAGTGGTGATTAGTTCTGTTTCTTTACCAACCCTCTCCAGTACTTCTTTATTTGTAATTCTATCAGTCCACGATATTTTCAATACTCTGCGGTATAATCAGAGTTCGAAGGCCTCGATTCTTTTTAAATTACATTTTTTTAATGTCCAAGTCTTAGCTCCATATAATATTGAAAATAGATAACAGCGAATGGTACGTAGTCTGATCTCCAAATTTAGATTTTTGCACGTTAGTAGTGGCTTCATTCGTATAAATGCTGATCTGGCAATCTCTATTCGCCTGTTTATTTCTACAGTATGATCATTGGTTTCATTGATCAAGTTCCCAAATACTGATATTTTTCTACTTGTTCTATCACGTTACCATTTATTGCCAATAGGTGATGTATATTTTGTGGCCTTTTTGTAATCAATATGTACTTCGTTTTTTTAGCGTTTATAGTATAGTATATAAAAGGCTACTATTACATAAATCCAGTAGGTTGTTCCCATAAACAAAATTATACCACAACACCAATTCGGATTTATACGTGAACACTTAACTATCCAACAATGCCACCGAATAGTAATTATAATTAAAACAACTCTCGAAGAGAAAAAGTTTTGCGCTGTAGTGTTTCTAGATATACAACAAGCATTTGATAAAGTATGGCATAAAAGTCTCCTCTACAAACTGAAATTACACCTAACAGACCAACTATAATTCAAAGAGTGTCCAGTTTTAAATATCTTGGTTGCCATATTACTGAACAACTAGATCCAGATCAAAAGATAAAATGTAGATTCGAGATAGCCCGCACGACATTTTTAAAAATGAGGTCATTCTTCTGTAATGATAACTTGCAACTTCAACTTCGAAAGCGCATGGTTAAATGCTACATTTGGTCAGTCATTTTATACGGTGTCGAAGCATGGACATTAAAAATATCCACGATTAATCGTCTGGAGGCCTTTGAGATGTGGCTGCACAGACGTATACTAAAAATTCCATGGACGGCTATGCTGACAAATGTGGCAGTCCTTGAAAGAGCAAATGCTGCTCGCGAGCTGCTTGATAACATCAAATGTAGAAAGATGGCCTATTTTGGACACGTAGTAAGGGGAGACCGATATAATATTCTTCAACTTATTATGAGGGGTAAAATCGAAGGACGCAGAGGAATTGGTAGAAAGCAGGCCTCTTGGTTGAAGAATATCAGGGAGTGGACAGGAATAAAGAAAGCTGAGCAACTATTTAGAATAGCTCGAGACGGAGACAGTTTCGCCATGTTAATCGCCAACGTCAAGGGGACTTGATAGGGCACGTTAAGAAGAAGAAGACCAACTATACTTTATATTATACTTTATACTAAAATCGTATGTTACGGGACTGTTATCCTAGTGAGCGTTGTAGTAGTCTGATGTGCAGTTGGTAATTGAGTTCAGGCTCTCGACGGGATAGAATTTGTCTGGGACGTTCTCGACGTCGAATGGGATGCTCCGCTTTTGGAAGATATCAGGATGAGGGTAGTGTATCTGGTTACATATGGTAAATACCTAAGGGCACAGATGGAGTATCTGAATTCACTATTTCATATGGAGTAGAACTCTAGAGTTACTACAAATCTTTAAAGGAAAAGTATTCAGGACCATATATGGCGACATTAACGAACAAGGTCTGTGGAGAAGGCTATATAACTTCGAACTCTATAGACTTTTTGGTGATGCAAATATCGTGGAAACAAACAAAATAAACCGCCTAAGATGGATATGCGGATGGATGAAAGTAATCCTAAACCAGCTAAATAGGCTGGTTGGAAGAAGAAGAAGGGGGCGAATTACACTCAGGTATAAAGACGATGTGCAGGACGATTTAGGTAGGATTAGAGCAAGGGGATGGAGAAGACAGACACTTTACAGAAAAGGATGAAATAATGTTTTGAGGCAAACGAGAGCTCACAGCAACTAATGTTGATACTGTGATCAATATACTGTCAGAGAGTTCAAATTTTTGTTATTTTTATTTCCACTGTAGTTATATTATTGTATAAGATACATGGATAAAGTACTCCAGAGAATTGTACAACCATAGTCGATATATAAAATATTTTTAAACAACAAAAACACCTCATAATGGATTACGAGGCCAAACAATTGCTTTGGAATATAAAATATACCAGCCATATAAATTTCTAAGTAAAAAAAAGTGGAAAAAGTTTTAATAACACAATTAATCTTTATCAAATAATTTTTTTCGTAAAAACTTTTACCAAAAATTACTTACTATCTTCTTCTATAGAAGGGCAGCCCGGTTGGTGTTTACCTTCGTTAGGATAGAAATCTACATGCCCTATAGGTTTGGTATACCCAGAAAGTTGAATATCTGTGTGAATAACATCAACAAAGTCAGCATCGTGATAGCTTAGTCTTTCTCTTTCAGACATATCTGGATTGCTCCACAGTGGACCTGCTGGATCTAAGGCTGTAATTCTTCCTACCTTTCTACCACTTAGCTCTTGTACAAATTGACCTATATAACATGTCAGTTGTGATCCGAGTGAATGACCTACAAAAGTTGATATTAAAACTATATTCTGATATAAAATCTTTCTTTTTACCTATTAGATGCACTTTGCTCAAATTAACTTTCGAAGCAACCAGAAATTGAGCAATGGACTTTCCTACGGGTCTAACATTGGCACTTGACACATGATAAGTTTTATTTCCAGCTTTGCTCCAATTTAAAAAAATTATATTGTGGGGTCCTTGTTTGAAATATTCATCTCTGAGTGGTCTGTACCATGGAGACGTATCGTCTGTAGTCCATCCGTGAATAATTAATACAGTTGGTACATCTTTTTCCTTAATTATGGAGTTAGATGTGCCTTCATTTACATTCTGTCCTTCTGTAGGGGAGGTTTTTGTAAAAAGGGTGTATATAACATCATCATTTTGAGCGTCTGCTTTGGAAAAATTTACCCTAGGTAGAGATCTGTAATAGGACTTTTTGTCATCTGTAACAAACAAAAATACTATGACATAAAATTTCAGTTAAATTGGCTGAGTCTTTGCAGATAGGTCATGTTAATCAAAAGTTTTTAGTTCCCTGAGACTCAGAAATCAATTGTTCTGAGTTAAAGAAATTCAAAATGTCGGTTTTTAGTCCATATAGTCCAAATAAACATATTTGTGTAATATATACGGTGTTAGTAAATAACTGCAACAAACTTCAGGTAGTGGTTCGTTTTCCGAGATGTGTGTTAAAATTTTTCTTAAAAATTGACGATTTATTTACTGCTCTAAAACTAGTTCAGATTATACAAATAAAATTTATTGACTTTTACAAGATAATTATTGCTTGTTTTTTGCCTTAAATTTAGGAATTTTATATTCATTATTGGCGCGCATACGTGTACTTTTCTCAATTTATTGAAAGAAAAAATGGTACGCCAATGAGGTGTATCAAATTAAAAATTATTTTTCAATCCTTCATTCAATTTGTGACAAAATATTGGTATCTGGAACTCTCAAGGTCTCTCCAATAAACTCAACGACGTAATTTTGGAAGCCAATAAGTGAAAATGGATGCTTTAGTACTTACCGAGACTAAAAAAGGGCAAGGCTCAGAAAACCTAGGAAAACACGACCATTTTTTCTCAGGAATACAAAGAGGTAAAAGAGTTCAGCAAGGAGTGGCTATACTTATAAGAAAAGACTTAGAAGGTGCATGATACTGGGAAGCAGTCAATCAGCGCATCATTAAACTTAACCTGACTCTGCATGGTAGTAAAGTCACCATTCTTGGCATCTATGCAGTAAACGAGGACGTTTTATTATAAGATAAAGAGAATATCAAGAGAAATACTCCTATTAGGAGACCTAAATGCGAGAACGGTCAAAAAAGTTAAAATAAAATAGTTGGTTAATTCGGAGAAGATACTAGAAATGACAATGGAAATAGGCTCATCAACATAAGTAAACAAAACAATCTGAGAATACTTAATAACTTTTTCCAACACCGAGAAATACATAAATTCACTTGGGTCCAACAATCAAGAAATTTAAAATCCATTACAGACTATGTAAACGCCCGACAAAAAACTCAATATAGTAAAGCGGAAGCGATCTTCTTTGGGTGCCGTGTCCGCATTCAGACGTTGGCCGTCATCATGTTTACAATTTCCTGAAACCTTTCTCTGTCGGCTGCTGCGCGAAATAATTCTTCTACTGTGGAACCACACCATTGTCCAATATTACGCAGCCATGAAAGTTTCTTTCGACCAATCCATCTCTTTCCTTCCACTTTTCCTTGTATTATAAGGCGAAGTAGATGGTATTTAGGTCCTCTAATTATATGGCCGAAGTATTCTGTTTTTCTCGTCTTTATGGTGTTTATGAGCAGACGTTCTGAATTGATCATTTGAAGAACATCTTCATTGGAAGTGTGCGAAACCCACGATATCTTTAGGATTCGTCTATAGCACCACAATTCGAATGCTTCTAACTTGTTTAGCATTGTGGTTTTTTAACGTCCATGTCTCACAACCATACAATAGGATGGACCACACATAACATTTCAGGACCTTCTTACGAATATTCATCGACAGGTTTCTGTTGCATAAAACTGGTTTCCAGGTCATAAAATCCTTACGTGATATTTCGATCCTGGTTATTATCTCTTCATCAGAGTCACAATTTACATTTAACCAGCTGCCAAGGTATTTGAAATGATTTACCCTTTCGACCTCTTCTCCATTACGAGAAATCAGACCTTGATCTATAATGATCTTTCCAACTGCCATCCACTTTGTCTTTGAAATGTTGATGTTAAGGCCTCTCCGATAACTTGCTTCACTGACTAGATTTAGTAATGTTTGGAGATCTTGTAAATTTTCTGCAAGAATGGCTGTATCGTCAGCTACCACTACCTAGTAAAGGCTAAAATAATGCCCATACGACTAGCCAAGAAAAAACAACACAACGAGGAAAAAGAGAAAAAAAAAAAACAATAGAAACCAAATACAACTTGAATAGTCTTAACCATGAAAGCACAAAGGCATTGTATAAAATACGACTCGATAAAAAGCTCTTACAAGAAAACTTTGTTAGTGTTAAACTCCATTACAATTACAAATAACAATGTCTCAAAAGTGCAGCAGAAGAAGAACTGGATAAATACAAAAAAAACCGAGCGAAGCAAGTCATATTGGTGAGGTGAAGAAATCAAAGAAAAAATAAAGATTAAACGAGATAAATACTACAAAAATTTAACTATAAATACTGATCAAAGTAAAAACGAATATCTAACAGCCCAAAGAAGCAAAAGTGGGTACTTGGGGGGTAGCAGAAGCACCGAAGAAAAATACTTCGATATCTTTGACAAGATAAGACTATAGACATCATCTCACCGATCAGTCTAGGTAAATGGGACGAATACTTCGCAAAACTACTGGTAGAAGAAAGGACAGAATATTTGCAAACACCTCAAAAACAGTCAGAGGTTTAAGTGCATACAAAAGCATCCCTAATTAGGATTGACGACGAAGAAGTAGCACGAGTATGCCAAGCAAGGAATCGCAGTCCTTAGCACCAACTCGAGAGTTTACGGGAAACTCGTCAATGGAAGACGAATTCTGTGATATGGAGGTCGAAGAATAGGCCGGCTTTAGAGCAGGAAGATCAACTATTGAATATATGTTTACTGTTACCCAGGGCTTTAAAAAAGCTTATGACATTGTGCCACAACAAAAACTCTTTCTCGAGAAAACAAATATTAGCGTAACCTTAATCAAGGCTGTTTAAGACCTATACAAAAACAACACAAGTAAAATAAAGAAATGTCAGGAGGGACCCGAGGGTTTCACTATCAGCCAAGTACTCAAACAAGGATGCTGCGTGTCTCCTACTTTGTTTAAGATCTACTTGGAGCAAGCGATGAAGACGTGGAAAAGAAAATGCAGAATCATGGAAATTCCTCTAAACGACGCAATATTGTACACATTGAGTTTTGCAGACGACCAGATAGTGATGGCCCAAGACTATGGAGACCTCGAATATATAACCCGTAAACTTATCGAAAAATACGAACTATGGGGCCTAGAAGTAAAAATCAAGAAAACTGAATACATGTGTATTGGGGGAATTCAATAAAATCTAATATATCAAGAAATACAGCGAGAAATAAATCACTGCCAAAAATACAAATATTTAGGCATGCAAATAACCAACGATGGCAAAATAGACGAAGAAATTAAACTTGGAAATAACCAAGTGTACTGTGTGTACTGTCAGACAAAACAATCTCCAAAGAAAACACAAAATCTATAACAGAATTATAAAAAGCATTGTTACATATGGAAGTGAGGTATGGCCACTAAAAGGAAAAAACTTAAAGGCATTAGAAGCAATAGAAATGGACTTCTGGAGAAGAGTGGCTGGAAAATCAAGATAAGACAGAGTTAGAAACGAAAGAATGTGAGAAATTATGGGTGTTAAGCACAATATAACAGAGGACATCAGAATAAATCAACTAAGATGGTATGGACACGTTAAAAGAATGGATGAACATAGAATACCAAAGAAAGTATTGAATTGGACACCGCATGGAAGAAAAAAGTAAGGTAGACCGATTAAGATAAAGAGAAGGAATCGATAAAGACTTAAGGGAGAGGGGAGTTGAACAAAGTCTGTGGAACGACCGAGATAAATAGGGACTGAAAATCAGAAGACGGCGTAAAACGTTATAAACTGATTGATTGAGAAACCAGTTCACCAAAAGTTCTTGCTTAGATGAATTGATATGTCGTAGAATTCAATTTTAAAATCCCATTTGTCAGTCCATTCATCATCTATTTTCCCTTGCAAATTGTAGAAAGCACAGATATAACCCTTAATAAGACAACGTGAACATATCTCCCAGTTTACTTTGCCACCAAATGAATTCTATTGTTGGAGCAGCGGCTCTATAACAGCAAAAAAGTGGTTGGATACCAAAGAAGTCATTGTTATTACAACTACCAATCACTCACATGAAGTAACCATGATAAAACGTACACAAAGAGTGTTCTGAAGCTATTTGCTTGTTGCATTTTTAAAATAATTACTATTTAAATAAGAATAAGCCACAACTAAAGGTTAAGGTAAGTTTATTGGTAAGTTACTTGGTAAAAAATTCTTCTAATAATTTAATTTTATCTAACTCATTTATATTGACAATTCAGACATACATTATACATTTTAAAATAGACGACTTTAAAATGATATTGCCAATATTGTTGAGTTGCGTTCCTGGGGCGACTTTACTTGTAAGATAGTTCATTCGATTACATGAAATCAACTTTAACTTGAGAATATCCGTCAGAAAAAATCATAGCATGCAATTCGTCTTTAAAAAGACAACCACATGCCATGATTACAGTAAAATTCTCCTGTTAGTGATTCCATGGTAAATTATGAGGGAAAATCAGGAAAAACCTCATAATACTATCCCGACATGATAAGTTTGAAATCACTGACGTGGAGTCTTACGCTACATATTACAAACGAAATGGTGTTGCACAGAATGGAAAGAGACAGAGAACTTTTGACCACCATAAAAAGGAGAAAAACAGTATATTTTGAGGCACATACTTAGAAATGAAAAGTACGAGTTGTTGCAGCTGATTATGAAGGGTAAAATCGAAGGAAAAAAGGAGTCCAGATAAGAGACAAATATCCTGGATGAAAAACATTCGCGACTGGACCAGGTTAAACTCACAGACGCTTTTAAGAACAGCAGAAGAATGGTTTTAGTCAACCTTCATTACTAAAGTCGCCACTAGAAGAAGAAGAAGAAGAAAAAGAAGAAACTTTGGGATAGTTGTTTCCGTTTGTTTTCAGCGATCTATTTTAAATTTTTGTGCCATTTGAAATTATGTTGTCGCATGCCTTATCTTCTGTTTTGTTCTGAGTAAAAAGTATTAGTATTTATTCTGTCATTCACCCTAGTTAGAAGATTAGGTTGCTACTAAAATTAATAATAGCATTATATATTGTGATGTTATCATGAGGATGATTAGGGGTATTATTATTTTTAAACCTACTGATTCAATGAGTAAATGAAAATACATTTACTCAATGAAAAACAAAACCAAAAAACGTGATATATTGGAACTAAATTAATCAGCTCAGAAATAAGATTATCTTGAAACATTAAAAAAGCTTTAAACAAAATTTAGTATTAGAATAAAACCATTTATACCTTTCTTATCAGCTAATACACTTGACATTATGCACAAACTGTCTTTACTATATTATCAGATATGTCAAACTAACTTATAATGATCAGTACTATCTTAAAATAATCATATCATCATATCAACGAATAAATTCCTTAACAATTTAAATAATTATAAAGATGGAATATGTACATCTATGACGACAGTTAATAAATTAAACAAACACACTACAATGTAATTGTAACATTGACAAAAAATCATTGCTAAGAATTAGATAACAATTATAATTATATATTTAGTTTTAACAAAAGTTACTGAATTATTTATATACCTATTGTTGGTGTTTAATCAACTGCGGTTTCTGCTGGAATTTATTAAATATGTACTTCAACACCTTTTTTTTATCATAAAAATGTGATCGCTAATCGTGACCACCAAAAATCAACTCGGTCTGTAATGCGCACAATTTGGAATAATAACCAATAGTAATACGTCATGAGTTCTTCAAAGTCGTTCAAAGAGCATATCGATGAAGAACCGATGTCTTAGAAATATGCTTGTTTTAATATTTTAATATATTCCATACTAAGTTTAACACATCCAATTGATACCGAATTACTTATTATGCAAAGAAAAACTGGATTTCTAATCAATACAAGTCTTATTTATTTCCTATACGAACTACTTCGCTCGAAAATTTAACAGTTAAAGTTAACCAAATTAAAATAAAAAAAGAGGTTTAATCTTTGTAAGTAGGTATATTTATAATTCCTTAAAAGGGCTACATCAAATTAACAAATGTTTTCGGAATAATAATTCCATCATCAGGTTAAAAGCAGGTTAGCATGTCTGAGCCACCAAAATATTAGGGTAAAATCCCTTGAAAGAAAATAAAGTTACTAAAGATTGTACATATTGATGTTAAAAATTAATGATATTTAATATTTTATTATATTTTACTTCAGGTAAGATACACCCAAATACACCAAATAAAGCAAAGGTCGATGACTGATAAGAACCTTTTTCTCATGGACAATCGGATAATAATGAAAGGAAAAAACAAACAAAGGTATAAACAAATACAGAAAGAAATCAAAATAGAAATCAGAATAGCAAAAGAAGATTTTTATAAAAGAAAATGTGAAGAAATAGAGCAATTGCAGGCAAAACATGATATTTTTAACGTACCCATAAAAAAAGTGAAAGAACTTGCAGGTACACAAAAACGTAAGCAGCGAAATACCCTGTATAATGTCAACGGAAACATAATAATAGAACTAGAAGAACAGTTAAGGACATGGAAAAACTATATTGAAAAACTCTTTGCAGATGATAGACAACAATCTGAGCTAAGTAACATACAAGGAGACGAAGGTCCAGAAATAACGGAAGAGGAAGTAATGTACGCACTAAAAGGAATGAAAAATGGTTAAGCCCCAGGTCCAGATGAAATACCAACGGAAATCCTTAAACTAATAGAAAAAGACTCGATTCACATTTTAGTTAAACTTTTCAATAGCATTTATACATCAGGAAAAATATCACAAGAATGGCTTTTATCCACCTTTGTTATTATACCAAAAAAGATAAATGCCAAACATAATCAAAGGTGACTACCGTACAATCAGTATGATGAGCCTTGTACTGAAAATATTCCTGAAAATTATACACTCTAGAGTACACAGAAAACTGGAAATGGACATTAATAATACCCAGTTTGGATTCCGAAATGGACTCGGAACAAGAGAGGCGTTGTTTGCAGTGAACGTTATGTCTCAAAGATGTCTTGACATAAATCAAGATGTATTCATGTGTTTCATAGATTACAACAAGGCCTTTGATAAAGTGTGGCATGATCACCTAATCAGACTCCTGACAGAAAAGAATTTAGATAAACGAGACATCCGACTAATAGCAAATATGTACTACAATCAGAAAGCAGTAGTGAGAGTAGAGAATAATACCACTGAAAAAATTGAAATAAAGCGAGGTGTGAGACAAGGGTGTATACTGTCACCAACCCTGTTTAATCTCTATTCTGAAAACTTAATGAATAGAACACTCTCTGAGCAATCCGTAGGTATTAAAATAAATTGTGTTAGATTAAACAATCTGAGATTTGCCGACGACACCGTTCTGATAGCAGAAACACTTGAAGAGCTACAGACATTGGTGAATAAGATAACAGACTGTAGCGAAGAATATGAACTATCTTTGAATATAAAGAAAACTAAATTTATGGTAATATCGAACTCAACACACAATTTACACAATGAAATTATCGATCGAGTTAGCAAATACAAATATTTAGGCACTTTTATAAATGAAGACAACGATAGCTCAGCAGAAATCAAAATAAGAATAGAAAAAGCCAGATCCACATTCACTAAAATGAAGAGAGTGTTCTGCGGAAGAGATTTGAGCCTTGAAATGAAACTTCGCCTGATGAGATGTTGCGTAATTTCTGTGCTGTTCTACGAAATGGAGTCATGGACGTTGAAAAAGATTGATACCAAAAAATTAGAGGCATTTGAACTGTGGATGTATCGCAGAATCCTGAGAATACCATGGACCGAGAGAGTCACAAATGTCGAGGTCTTGAGAAGAATGAATAAAGAAAAGGAAGTCATATTTACGATCAAAAAACGAAAATTGCAATACTTGGGACACATTACAAGAGGCGAAAGACATGAACTGCTTCGAATAATTACGCAAGGGAAAATAACAGGAAAAAGGTCCATAGGAAGAAGACGAAACTCCTGGCTAAAGAAGGTTCGAAACTGCTGACCGAATTGTTTCGGTCAGCAGTTTCGAAAATACGTATAGCCCTGATGATCGCCAACCTTCGGAATGAAGATGGCACTTGAAGAAGAAGATACACCCATGCCTTACGTGAGTACCAGCTTCCGGAGGGTAGACCTCTTTAAACGGACTTCAGCTGGTAACTCAGTTCAGTTCTTAGTAACATTAGTCTAATTAATTTGACTAATGTTTGTATTTTGAGAACGATTTCCGAAGTGGAAATTGAAACGTCAATAAACGTACTTTAATCTTTAATTGTGGCTTATTCCCATTTAAATAGTAGTGACTATAATATAAAATAAATTTTGTTAGTATATTTACCTATGGGTAAGCTCCAATTAATATTAACTCTTCCTAACACTATCATATACACAATAAGTAGAACTTTCATCTTGCATAGTTTATTCAGTTTTGAATACCATCACCACTACAATAAAATATGATTTAATTTAAATAGTAACTTTAATACGTTTTAAATGTTTTAAAAGTCGATGACATTGCTACATGACCGTAAATGTTTTCTAAATTGACATATTTGTGAAACCAGTATGTTACGTAATTTGTGATAACCAGCAACATTATCGGGTACAAGTAAAATATTACTTTCTAATACAAAAATATAGAAGTACTTTCCAATGGGTCCAGTTTATTTTACATTTAAACTTGAGTTTTGTATGATGCGTTCGAAATTGTATTTTGTTTATATTACACTGCTTATGTAAAGTCTGCCTTAAAATTTTTAGACACAGTTCGCTCAGCTTGTGAATAATTTGACAGAGTCAATTTACAAAATAAAAATTCTTACTTATCAAAATTAATAGCGCAAGTATGCTTTCTATGCAGCCTTTGTTCATTAAAAAAAGAAGAATAATCATAAATGATGGTGGTTTATAGTCATTAATTTTTTTTTAACTTTTTTTTAGCAAATCCCAATCTATAAATAACCAAATTGATGCAGTTTTCTCGTGAGAGTCTCTGTCAGCGGCCAGGCCTCCACACCATACAGTAAGATCGGATCATTTTGTCCACTTGCCCAATATCTTCATTTTTTATCTGCATCCTTGAAATGACTTTGCCCTTCTTACTGATAACCATGGGTTTTGTTTTCTTTATGTTTATTGTTAAACCAAACTGTTCCCCAGTATCACAAATTGTGTCTAGTAACGTCTGCAGGTCTGTCTCACTTTTTTTGTCAAAAAACAAGATTTTTAAACGTTTTTTGCGAATAACTCAAAAATTAAGTATTTTATCAAAAAAATATTCCTAGCAAAATTATAGCTTATAAAATAGCAAAAAAAATGGTGTACGTATAAAGCCAGAAACACATGAAGCACATTTGTAGCTAATGAAAAGTAGGTTCTTATTCGTCAAATTCCAAATCGAATATTTCAACGTCAAAGAATGAAAAAAACAAGCACTTTCCCCGACAGCGAGTTTTCTTCGAAAAGTGCTTAATTTTTTGATATTTCTCGTTGAAATATTTGATTTAAAATTTGAATTACTTTTCATTAGCTACAACTCTGCTTTTACTGAGTCTACAGACTTCATGTAGGTATAAATACAATAAATCCTCCCTTAACCGAAACCTTTTTAACCGAAACATTGTTTAACCGAAACGGCTGACAGTTTCAATAATTTCGTCAATAAAAAGTAAATTATTATCGCAAAACGTAAACAATTCCATTAATTTCTCTCATCGATTGATGCCTATGTGTGTTGGGAAATCAAACAACCAAGAGCTCTAAAAGATATTTGACAAAAAGCACTTCCAGTTTTTTATAGAAGCCAAAAAAGCTCATGGATGTCGACCACTTTATTTTCAGAATGGTTCGAAAATAAATTCGTCATAAGTGTAAAATACTCTTTAAAATAAAAAAACCTCCCCATCAAAGCATTGTTGCTTGTTGACAATGCGCCAACTCACCCTCAAAATCTACACAATGGTGATAATTGTCAGATTTTTGACACCGAATGTCACGAGCTTAATTCAGCTGTTGGACCAGGGAGTAATAGAGACATTCAAGAGAGATCCTAGAGGAGCACTCTTAAGACATCTGTTATTACAGGAGAGGAATGAATCCAAAATTCTCAAATCTTCAGCAAAGAAACATGCTCTTTATCGGTGTGCTGAGTTCTACGCCAAGATCAAATCTTCAACTTTGGAAAAATTCTGGAACTAACTTTTTGATGGGATTTTGATTGACGATCCTGAAGAAGAAAATGGTAAAGAAACGACAGAAGTAATTAACTCCTATTCAATATGTATTTCGAGGAAATATTTAACAAATGTATGGAAAATGCAAATGAGGGCATAAAAATAAACGGCGAGTTAACGAACAATATAAGATATGCCGACAACACGGTGATTCTTGCCAGTACCATAGACGAATTACAACAAGTAATGGAAAGACTTTATTCAGTTAGTGAGGAATACGGCCTGAGCCTCAACTTCAAGAAGACAAAGTGGATGCTGATAAGCAAAAAGCAACAACCTGCTCGACAATTACGGATAAGTAACATACTAATTGGCCATGTAGAATCTTATGTGTACCTTGGCACCAACGTAAATGCAAAATGAAAACAGACCATAGAAATTAAGGCAAGAATAGAACGAGCTAGAGCAGCATTTAGCAATATGAAAAAGTTCCTCATAAGCAAGGATTTGTCTCTTCCCCTAAAACTACGTATAGTTAAATGCTACATTTTTCCGATCTTGCTGTATGGCGTGGAGGCCTGGACGCTGACGGAGACGCTAACGAGAAAACTAGAAGCATTCGAAATGTGGGTGTACCGACGCATTCTTCGTATATTCTGGACCGAACATGTCACCAACATAGAGGTACTCCAAAGAATCGGAAAGGAGAAAGAAATCGTGAATACAATTAAACAAAGAAAGCTTGAATATCTAGGCCACATATTGAGACACGATAAGTACCGTCTGCTACAATTGATTGTCCAGGGAAAAATAGACAGTAAGCGAGGGCCAGGCAGGAGAAGACACTCGTGGCTCCAAAATCTGCGGAAGTGGTTCGGGCTCACATCGGTCAAACTATTCAGAAGCGCCGCAAACAAGATCAAAATTGCCATGTTAATAGCCAACGTTCGCAACGGACAGGGCACTTGAAGAAGAAGAAGAAGAAATTAAACCTTTAATAAAAAATTTGCCAAGATGTAACGAAATTAACCAAGAAGAGATACGTGAGTGGTTAGCAGCCGATGACTCATCGGCTGCTAACCACTCACGATAATCAAATCATTGATATGGTTCTTCATCTAGACAAACTGGGCGTATCAGACGACGAAGATGACTACCCAACAGACAACAGGCAGCATGAGACCGCCGACGAGATTTTCAGTGCCTTAAGGATGAAAATTTTATACAGTAGGCCTAATTAATTAGGAATACTACTAGGTTCTTAATTTTTGCTGTCATTGTATAAAGTTTTGTCCTTTTCAGATTGCTCTACGTTTCGTCGAACGATCGAATGAGGCAAACTCATGACAATGAACGATGGAGATATATAGCTGCAAAACGTCTTTGTCAAACGAAAACGCAAAAGAAAATAGAAGATTTCTTTAAAAAAGCATGTTAAACTTGTTCATTTTCCTTAATATTATTACTTTATTCTGTATTTATTTATTAGAAAATATTAAGAAATCACCTCATAGTATTTTTTAATACCAATACTTTGACCAAGAATACTATAAAAAACAATGTTATTTTTAACCGAAATTCTTGTTATCCGAAACGGCCTCCCCCCTAATTACTCTACATATTTTTTTTAACTTTTTCATAAGCTATATTTTTGCTTACTTTTTGAGATATTTGCGGAAAATCGTCTAAAAACGTATTTTTTTTTTATTGAAACATGATCATATTCACCCAAAAATAACTCGATAAGTATTGACTTTGTGCAAAAACTGTATAAAATAAAAGTTGTTTAAAATTAGTCAGTTTATTCAATTCTGGATTTATTTTGAACGCATATTTTTTCACACCCGAGAAAGGGTGAACTCACCCCCATGGCAGAAGCACACATCGGCACAATATCATTATTTTTCTTTGCCGTTAGCTATGTATATGCCAAATTTCATGTCAATCCAAGCGGTTTTTTAATATTTACAACTAAAACCGTGAATAAGTGGACTAAAAAAGAAAAAAACTTTTCGAAACATCAATAAATTAAAATATTGGTTTATCTTACTTTTATTAAAATGATTACCGCAAGCTATTTTTACTTTTTCATTAACAAACTTCGTTTTTCGATAATAAAAGTTCACTACACACTATAAAACTAAATACTAAACACTTAAACTAAACTCTAAAAAATAACACGACCAGTAAATAACTTAACAATAACTATAACACACAATATATTAACCTAAAAACCAACAAGCTATTTGAATTTAAACAGACTGACAAGTTTGGACCTGTAAAATGAGAATCCGTCTGACTTAAGGCAATAAATTATATTTAATAGCCTCTTGACGAATGAGAGGGTAAAAATATCAACACGTGCGTTTATTTACAGTTGGGAATTTGCTGAATGGATATACTTTAGAAGTACTTTACTCGGCTTCGGCACCTTGTGTTTCTGCTCGACAAGCTGTTTACACATTCCATTCCAGTTGTTCGACATCGATTCGGTGACAATCGCCCATCAAGAGTAGACAGTCTTTCTACTTCCGTCGAATCGACTAAAGGTCGATTCAGACACATCTGTCACGTCTCGTCACAGTCCTGGCGCCGAACCGATCAATCCGTCATACAAAATATTCTTTAGTAGAAATATGGCGCCGGCATTCACATTCATCAGGCGACAAACAGTTTCCCAGCTGTCAGATAATTAATAGTTCTGTGGCCAAACAGGACCGGTTCGGCACCGAGACTATGACGGGACTGATGTGTCTGAATCGATCTTTACTCCGCCGAACGGCCAAGTCTATTTATGGTTTACATATTCAATTTGCTTTCGATTTAATAAGTCGTTCAAATCAGATCGTGAAAACGTGCCTTACAGTACGTAAGTTTTGAAATAAATTCCAAATATTTACAATTAAAAGGTATTTATTAAAATTTAATTTGGTAAAATTTTATAATCATAAAGGTATGCATAATTAACAGTCTTTATAAGTTACATTCATTGATAATCCAATCATTGTTTCCCCTACAATATTGAGTATAGGTTGTCCACGCTTTAAAACCATTACCGTTGATTCTTTGGAATTCGTTAAATATTTTTCTTACACATTGAACATCATCGTGGATATCATCGTCTCTTAATCTGTCACAAGATACATGACAACCTTGAGGATGGGATGGTGGATCGCACCTGTAAAAAAATATTATTACTATCAAACAGTGACAGAAAAGACCAAAATTCTAAAACATATTTTAATTTTTAATTTCTATATTTAATAGAAATTAACCACGATTTCAGGTCAATGTATATTTTGACGTTTCATTTATTTATTTTATTGTGTTCAGTTGTGTTTGCGTCAGGAAGGGCATTCGGCAGTAACAACCTTGCTAAAACGTCAAGAAGGAGGCAAAGAAACTAGCCATGAGAGTTGCCATTGTTAAAGTCGCAAGCATGACAGGTAAAGAAAGAGAGCTCGCTGATTTTATGCAGAGAAGAAAGAACTGTGTAGTTTGTGTACAGGAAACTCGTTGGAAATGTAATAAGTCAAGAGATCTTGGAGAGAAGAACAAGTTAATATATAGTCGTTTGAACAGTCATGGTATAAATGGAGTAGGTATTATTTTGAACAACAAATGGAAGAAACATCTGGTAGGAAGAACCAGAAGAAGTGATAGAAATGACAGAATATTGAGTGTCCAACTGAATGCAGGTAATACCAACGTGAATATCATATATGTCTACGCCCCACAGGTGTGGTGTGAAGAACAGGAAAAGGAAGAATTTTGAAGGGCCCTTGATTGCAAGATGCTCCAAATTTCTATAAATGAAAAGTTCATGGAGGTTTGGGGATGGGAGTAATGAACGATGAAGGAAATAGCGTGATTTACTTTGCAGTAGTATGGGATTTGATTGTTATTAATACGTTTTTTATGAAGACTAAAGACCAGTATGTTACCTTTAGCAGCGAGGAAAGAGAAAGTAAGATAGACTTTGTGCTGTGCCGAAGAAGTCAGCTAAGAGAGGTTACCAATTGTAAAGTGAAAAAGGGTGAGTGTGTGGCTAGTCAATACCAACCGGTGATAGTAAGTGAAGGAAAGTGGTCCAAGATTTGGCAATAGTCTTTAAGAGTAGTGTTGGAAGAGATTGAGGAAAAAGATACGGTAAATGACTGGAGGAAAGCCAACAATAAAGTTGTGGTGCGAGTGGGACAGGAAGGGCTACACAAAACATTTGGTAAAGCCTTCCTAGAGATAAAGAAACTTAGTGGTGTAACGACGAAGTGCAACAGAAGTTTAGAGAGAAAAAAGATGCTAGAAAGGGTTATGGCAGGTTTAAGAAAGAGGAAGATAAGGATATATACAAGGTAGCAAAGAAGGAAGCAAAGCGCGTTATAGCTACTGCTAAAAAAAGAGCGTCTGCACACCATTATGAAGAGTTGGAATCACCCGAAAAGATTGCTAAAGCAAGGGACAAGTCATCAAAGAACTTGACCCACATGCGGCAGATTAAAAGTGTTAAGAACCAATGTTGAAATAAAGTAAAGATGGTACGAGTACTTTAGAAATTTGCTAAATGAAGAACATCAGAGGAGAAATACAGGATTGGGGATCTCAAATGAGAATGTAATATCGGGGATAGGTAAAGATAAAGTTGTCTAGGCGTTAAATAGGATGTATAATGGTAAGGCAGTAGGACCTGATGGAATACCTGTGGAGGTATATTAACAAAGTTATGTCTGTTCGAAAGGAGACTTTTATTCACCGAACACAGGAGAGAAATCTTTCCCGGATCTCTAATGAAGCAGGGTATATACGGAAATAACGTTATATTATGTATATTATGTATATTGTGTATGGTTTCTATTTTATTAATTAATAACTTACCAATATAATTGAGAAATCTGGAACAGGCCATTATCATGAGATTGGGTATTTATGGCAGCAGTATTAAATTGTGATTCATGTTGGACAATGCAAATCCAAGTTGGAATTTGTTTACGAGGGAATTTGTAAACGTGAAGTAATTCACGCGCCAAAGTACATTTGTCATAGATTCTGCAATATGCTAAAGGAATAACAACTAATAATAGTAATACTGCTTTGGACACCATTTTATAGTACCTAAAACATAAGTGCAATGTTATTTTAAAGAAAGATGATCTTGTAGAAACTATTTGCAAATAATGATATTGTGAAAATATTTTTATATTTTTGAACACATAAGTAATAGTATTTGGTTACCTATAATAAGGCGGGTATTTTAAAAGCCTTTCCAAACATTTCTAATTTGTGTGTATTTGACCCAAAAGAAGTTAGAAGTATTGTTTTTTTAATTGTTTGAAGACTAAACCAGGACTTTTGGTTATGAACATTCGTTCTTTGCGATTGGTATTATTTGTTGTTCCTGAATTTGTGAGGTCAGAATATCAAATTTTATTGTCTTGTTAGACAATAAAAAATATACACCGTGCCGGTGTAGTTTCCAGGAAGGAGGGGTTCTGAATTGAGTAGCGGCTCTTCAGTACTTCTTGGAAAGAACACTCGGAGGGGGGTACTTCTCAACCTCAACATGGCACGTTTCAATGGCTGATAGGGAACGTCCTACAGATATGTGGGGCAGGTGTGAGTAAGGCTTTTCCAAATAAACACTTGCGGATCAACTAAGAGCATAGCATAGGGCAGCAGTTATGTCATTACAGGATCGGAGCAGTAGAGAACTGTTGATTTTTTCAGACACATTGTGGCTTAGAAGAAATAGAGCATATTACTAAGAGTTATGATGACCCTGATTATGCGCCATTAGATATTTCAGGTGGAGCAGAATACCCGGTTACAGCAGATTTTGGGGTAACTGATGATGAAATGTTACCAGATAAAAATGATAAGACAACTGGAAATATGAAAAAAATAGAAAAGCAAATGAAACATCCATATAATTGTCAGAAAAAATGTTATCAAATATTCACTGAAGAACAAAGAAAAATATTGTTTGAAGGTTTTTATAATTTACCAAAAGATGGATAAGATCAGTATATAGCAGAGATTGTCAAAAACACGACAAAAGGAAGAACAAGAATTAGAAAGGAAAGTGAAAAGTTTTAAGTGATGACATTAGCCGGAGGAAATTTACTAGAAAGTATTTTTTAACTACTGATGAAAACCAGTCTATTGAAATATGTCAAGCGATGTATATTCAAACGTTTGATTTAAATTTAAAAAAAGTAAGGACAATTGTCGAGAAGAAAAGAACTAGTCACTTTAATATCTGCCCAATGGATGGCAGAGCAAAGCATTCCAAACATTTATAAGACAGTATTCCGACCAATCTTGATATATGGAAGCGAGAGCTGGGTTTTAACAAAGCAATTAAAAAGCAAGATACAAGCCATTGATATGAAATATTTAAGACGAGTCAAAGGAATAACACGACGAGACAAAATAAGAAATGAAGATGTTAGAGAAGAACTGGGCACAGAATCTGTACTACATGCTATTGAAACACAACAAATAAAATGGTTTGGTCATTTGTGCAGAATGAGCGACAACCGACCCGTTAAGCAAGTCTGGAAGGGTAAAGTGAAAAGGTTTAAAACCAGAGGCAGACCACGGAAAACCTGGGATGAAGAAGTAGGGCAGATTTTGAAAAGTAGGAGATTGGAATGGTCAGAAGCTCAAAATAAATCAAAAAACAAGAAAAGAATGGACAAAATTCGTGCACAGAATAGAATAAATTTAATAGAATAAATATTTTCATTGAATTTGGGATGTAATGTATATCTGTAACCTGTAATTGTATTATTGTATTGTATTTACCTTACACCTTAGGGTAGAGGGGTGTTCGATTATATATAATAATATAACCCAAAGGAGTTAATGTATAGAAAAATATTAACTAAAGAGTTTAATCGTTCTTTTCACGGTCCCAAAATGACACTTGTGCTAAGTGTGAATAGTTTACTGTAAGTCTAAGAAGTATGGAAAATAAGCAACTAACCAAAGAAGAAGAAGAATAGAAAAAGCTTTTACTTGAAAAGGAAAAACATTTAGATTTATAAGCAAAAGTCGTCAGACAACGAACGAAGCAAAATAGACCAATTATTTTTGGTTGCTTCTTTGGACTTCAGGCAATTTGGGAATTTGTTTCCTATGGAACGAGACAGTGGCTGGTTGTGGTGGGTAAGAAATAGCTTCATGTAGTATAAAAAAATTCATTTTGTGGCTTTCAATAGAAGTAGAAATACTTCATTTGTACAGTGATTCTTATTATGGCCAAAACAGGAACATTTTTGTGTCCACAATGATATTGTTAGTGATGCGTGAGATAAAAAAAATAGGAAAACGTTTGAAATAAGTATATGCTAAATTTATAGAACCTGGTCACACCCATACGACAAGGGTGTATTTTGTCTCCTATGCTCTTCAATCTCTATGTGGAGAACATTTTTTAAGAGGCACTGGAAGGCTCTGAGTGTGGAATAAAGGTAAACGGGTTCCCGATTAATAACATTCGTTACGCCGACGACACCGCGATCATAACAGACAACGAACATGATATGCAGTTAATGTTAAATAAAATAAACACCGTAAAAAATATATGACTTGACAATAAATGCTGGAAAAACTAAATGCATGGCAATAAGAAAAACGCAATTTTAAGAATACAACTGCAAGTAGATGGTGCTCCAATCTATCAAGTGGAAACATTTAAATACTTGTGAATGATGATGAATGACCAATGGGATCCTCAACAGGAAATAAAATGCCGTATCGAACAAACAAGACAAGCTTTTAATCAAATTTAAACCGCTACTATGTAACTGCAATCTTTCCTTCAATCTCCGCTACAGGATGGTTAAATGCTATGTATGGTCCATATTGTTATACGGCATGGAAACATGGACGTTAAGAGTACCTTCCATTAATAAGTTGGAGGCATTCGAAATGTGGACGTTGCAAAGAATGTTCCGCATACCATGGACAGATAGGGTGAGAAACGAGGAGGTCTTATAAGAAAGGCAAATACTGAGAGAGAACTACTCTCTCAGTATTTGATCAAGGTACGAAAAATTGGATACCTCGGTCATATTCTAAGAGGAAAAAAATACGCAATCCCTCAACTAATCATCCAGTAAAAGATTGAAGGCAAGAGAGGAGTAGGTCGCAAACAAATGTCGTGGCTACGAAACATAAAAACTGGACAGGCATAAATAACACTGGCGATCTTTTGCATGCCGCAAAAGACAGACGTCTGACCTTAAGATAATTCGCCAACGCACTATAGGTGCACGGCACTATAAGAAGAAGAAGAAGAAGGTCACACCCATATGATGGCTCGACACAATTCACGCGACCATAGAGGCAGCAAAGAAAAAGATAACATCTGAAATTGAAGTTCCACACGATTGCAGTCATTTCATAAAAAATGTACGAAAGACGTGAGAAAGAAAGATGGAACAAAAAGATTTTTTAAATTTTAGTAGGGTACTATCAGGAAAATTAATATTTAAAAAAAAAACACCAAAATATTTGATAACTGATTAGATATTTTAATAAACAACATACTCCAAACCATTTTCTCCAAACAGTAAAAATGGACATTGGCCCTTTTTCTATTAAGGTACAGATATTGTAACATTGTTTTATATTGTATAATAGAAAGTAAATAAACATTATTATTATAAACATACACAAAAAAGAAGACGGGCAAAAAAAGATGTCAAAAAGCAGGTAAAGCCAGAGGTAGAAACTACGCAGAAATGAAAATGACATGGAGAAACAAAATGAATACAAATAAGAACCAACGCATCAAAAAATCAAACACCCCAGAGGTTAAAAGGAGTTTAGAGCACAAGAGGACGATATACTAACCAATAACATTTAAATTACCTATTTTAATAAAAAAAAATAATTAATTAAAAATTGTAAATGTATACACACTTCACAAAAAGTATGAATTGCTGCAACCAGCGATAGTTGAAGTCTTTTATTGAATTATAATAAATTTAAATTAAAATAAAAATTAGAATAAACATGGAGTTTATAAACATGCAGTAATAATATTTTTACACCTACCTTGTTTTGCACTGTACAATTATTACTGACTATGTGACACACAGCAATTTTAGCCTTTTTATACTAATATGGATACGGATTAGAATCCAGAATCTTATGAACAGACTGTGGTCTTGAATATGCAGTTTATTTTTCGGCCACAGGGACGGCCTAGCCGTATTAGATCTAAAAGTTTCATTACTATTTTAAAGACAATAAGCCACAATTAAATGTTAAAGTAAGTTAATTGACGTTTCAATTTCCACCTCGAAAATAGTTCTTAAAATAAAAACATTAAAATTACATAACATTTGTTTTTTTGTTATTTGGTGAAAAAATCTTCTAATAATTTAATTTTATTTGACTCATTTATATTGACAATTCAGACTTACATTATACATTTTAAAGTAGACGACTTTAAAATGATATTGCCAATATTGCTGAGTTGCATTTCTGGGACGACTTTATTGTAAGATAGTTCATTCGATTCCTACATGAAATCAACTTTAACTTAAGACAACATTCGTCAGAAAAATCATAGCATGTAGTTTGTCTTTTAAAAGACAAGCACATGCCATGATGACAGTAAAATTCGCCTGTTAGTGATTCCATAGTAAATCATGAGGAAAAAACATGAAAAAAACATCATAATACTATCCCAAAATGGGTAGTATTTGGTCTTACATTATTTAGTTTACTCTCAATAAACACCAAATTTTAATTTTATATGTTTGTAATTAAAAAAACATAAATGATATCCTGAATCCTGAAGATATTCTATACCTACCACGTAACTAATCAGGAGGTTTTATTAAGAATGCAAAAAAGAAATATGTTAACCACAAAAAAAAAACAGCCAAAATTGAATACCTTGGTTACATCATAAGGAACAGCGAAAGATATGGGCTTCTGCAATTAATTCTACAAGGAAAAGTAGAAAAAAATCAGGACCAGGAAGACGAAGATAAAATAGGTGTGGATGGATGCAACATCGTTGGATAACTAATGTTTATTAAACGCTAGATATGTTTTTCTGAAAAAATTAAATGGGTAGTTGCTAGGAACTCCTTGG